ATCTGCTGGAACACTGAAACCCTTTGTGTACAGCACATTTTCGGCTTTGAGGGGGTTCGAGAGCAAGCCTGGAGCCAAGTCTGGCGCAGAGTAGCCTGACTGGATCATACCCCACATTTCATGGGCCTTGGGGAATTGAAGTGAAGACTTGGGGTATGCTCAGGAGTGGAGCCACATCAGTGCAAACTGCCGGGCTCAAGCATTCGCCAAATGTTGCTGCGCAAGCCTCCAAATTGGCTGGAAGAGCATTTAACAAGAAGCAAATTACTCAGCGAACCGGCAAACAAGACGCCAGCTGACATAGGACAGGTCTGGGCGGGGTGGCAAAAACTGGTCAAGACCAACATCTGCGGTTGCCAATCCTCAGCGTTGTGCTGAACTGCTTTTCTGCTGAAGATCGTCAGCTCGATAATTGATGGGGCTGCTTTCATAGTCCCTCCCCTAAACAGTTGAACCAGTCGCCGGGGGTCTCTTTGGTGAGTATGCTGCGGGTCTGGGTGGGACTTGGACTTGCTAGTACTTACTTTAGTATCGCCAAGACTCTCAGATTCCCAGTACTTAGTTGAGTAGTGTCAAGTCTAGATTCAGTATTGCCGCTGAGTCCTGACAGGCAGGAAGCCTTGCAGGCAGACACGCGCTGCGATTGCTCAAGTTCAAACAAAACAAGCCATAGCTTGACTGGGTTGGCTGGAACTGCTTGCAAACCTTTATCTCACTTCGAGGGCTGGCCAAGTGCCGAAACGACGCAGGCCATGTCGTCAGGTACGCAGCCTCGGCGGTGCAAATGAGGGATCTCCTGCGCACAAGTCTGGCATAGCCACTCGAAGATCTTTGAGAAAGTCTGTGCAAGCACGAAGCTCATCACTCGGCAAGGCGATGCAATTGTTTCAAAGGAAACGGAAAGATCAAGGATGAACTTGTACGAGCCCTCATCGCATGATGGGCCGCAGCCGCTAAAAGGCGATGCTGATTCGAGTTGGGCTGGGTTCGGTAAAACTACTCAAGGAGCAACCTCGCCCAGTTTGCTGACCGTCTGTGCCAAATGCACTCTGCGGGCTAGAGGGCAGCAGGTCATATCATCTGCGGCAGTCGTCCACTCTCTCAAGAAGGCTAGCCGTCGACCAAGCCACATCGGGCGGGGGCGCGCGGGCGCCGTAGAAACTTGAGCTAGGCTTGCAGGCGAGGCTGATTCAAAGCCGCTTTGGCAAGGCCTGAAAGAGCAAAAGCTGCTTGGTCTGGCCTCCAGAGTGGGTTGGCTGAACTCGAGGGCCAGAAACTTTTGGCCGTTCAGTCTTTGGTGTTACTTCGAAGACAACCACCCGTGCTAAGGACACTCCCTGCCCCATTTCAGGGAGATGGTACTCCTTCTTCTACAGAGACGCCTACCTGTCTACTTGCGAAGATACGTCGGCAGCTTTGCCTCTCCAAAATGGATAAGAACAAACAAAGTATCTCAGAACCTGAGACCCTAGCACAAAAATCACAAGCAGCAAGTCCTTCCATCAGAAGCAAGCCCTTTGGCGGCTTGTGCTGCATAATTGCGATGGTCTTACATAAGCGGTACAAAGGCATCCGAAACCGTGCGAACAAGGGGCAGTGCATGCACACATCAGCTTTGCGTGCCCCATCTTTCGCCCCACCTTTTCGCTACCCTGTTCTGATTTGCGGGTTGAAAGTAGTTGAACAGGCGTAATCCCGCAAATATGTTCAATGGGGCCTGGGCCCCAAGGTGACCAGGTGTGACGAAGGGCGTCTCCATGACACGGATGACGTCCAGGAGGACAAAGGCAAGCCACGCAGGAATCAAGGAGCAAGGTAAGGGGGGCCAAAGAGTGTAAAATCAATCTGCCGGGAACCCGATTGCCGGCCTTTCGCAATCCTTTCGCAGTGCGGTGCAACCGAAGCTCATGCCGACTTTAGACGACTTGATCGCTTTACGTGATTGGCACGTGTGGTCAGGCGCGTAGCCTGGAGATCCAATGACATTCGCGGCCCTGCCACGCATTTGCGTCAACAAAGCCAAAACCAACATTTGATCCTGCAAACTCTCAAGCTTCGATGGAGACATGCATTTGGGGTTGCGGGCGGTTTGGGGACCTGGGACCACTGCTCGAAGAGGACGCGTCCGTCACGCAAAGCTTCTTGCCCGTGGCGTTGCTTCGTGGTCGTGCAAAGGCACCGGCTGCCAGCCTCGGCGCGTGAGTGGCTAGGTGCAGCAAGTGGGCTCCCTGGTCGACTGGCCTCGCAGCCCAAAGTACTGCATACGATCTAGCACCCAAAAAAAAAAGTACCATGGGGTACCCAAACAGGCTGGTGTGCAACCCCCTCCAACCCTCGCGCCAAGAGAGGCATCACGAAGCCAAGCAGATTCTGCGAAGCCCCAGGTTCTTCGAAGTACTGGGTCCGGCAATGCGCATACTTCTCCAGACTGCGTGCCCCCGTTGGTGTTTCTCTGAGTTACACGTCAAGTTTAACCGGGGGTTGCCGCCCTTTGGCGGTTCAATCGCCGGCACGCTGCAACGCACACCATTCCTTTTGTGGTAGATCCTGAAAAGACTTGCAACTTGCGTAATGTTGCTCATGCATTGCAGTTCGCGGAACGCCCCCGCGTGAGTGACCAAAACATGTTCCAACATCTTCCATCAGACTTGAGATTCTCGATTCTAAGCCTGAGGTACGCCCACTATAGCCAAAGTCTTTGGGGAACTATAGCGAGTTTTAGCCCAACTCAGAGGATCCATTGGCTGAGATCTGCAACGATGAATTGCGAGAGCTTGTCACAAGCGTTGCTTGCCCATGCGCATCTTGGACGATGGGGAATCGAACTGAAGCGCAAATGGGAGCTAAACGCTTTCAAACGCCAGAGGCAAAGGCTCTCAGATCGGATTTTAGGCCGGACGTCTCATCTCGGATGCGGCTTCTGTCGCATGTTCAGCACCGTCTCCCTATGAGCAAACTGTTCCATCTGTTCCGACATTACTTGAACATGGGGAGGCACAACTCATCTAATATAGAGCGCACGTCTTAAGCTCTTGATATGTCCCCAAGCATCTTGAGTTGAAGCTCAAACAGAAGCATCTCAGGCCCGTTCCCGAGGTTGCTGGAGCTGGACACACCCGTTTGAGGCTGAGTGGAAACATAGCGGCGCGATGTTTCAATTCTTGCGCGTGCGTATTCTGACCAGCCCACGCTTGAGGCAACGAAGCACGCTGCTTTTGCTGGAGATGCGAAAGCCAAATCTGCGTGCGGTATTGGTCATGCGTGGCATTCTGTCGGGCAAGCTGCTGGGCAATCACTTGGGTTCAACAGTGCAAGCACGCCTGCATGCAAAGCCTTGTGGCAGCCAAGGAAAGCCACTCGAGGGTTCTCACCACTGCCAATCCAGCGCCATGCGAGCTAGCGACTGTGGGAGTTGCACGAACTTTAAGGCCATGAGGGCTAAGGCTTGCTTTTGCATGACCTGCTTTGCAAGCAATGGGCACGGTGGCGAACAAACAGCTGATTGATTAGCCACCAGCTGGCAAATGTAAAGTTCGCTCTGAGCAGGGCACATCAAATACATGACCCTTTGAAAAAGCGCAGGGAGGCAAGCAAGGATGACATGCACAAAATTCAGAGTTTTGTGGTTGGCTTTTGGCCACGGCTGGCACAAACCCGACCTCGCGCCAGCTCACCACCTGCTCGAGCGCCGTTTGTTCGCGGAGAGTTGATATCACGCATGTGAGGCTTCTTGTGAGCCCAAAGACTGCGCGCCCTCGCACGGCAGGTGATCCACCAAGCTGGGCAACCCCATTTGCACGTTAGGCTTTGGCAGGTCCAGCCGGAGCACGTTGCCCTATCGGGAGCGAGTTATCTTGGAATGTCGAAACGAACCCACTGCAAGTTCCAAGTCAACTTGCGTGGGAACAACCTTCACTTGAACAGTTCACTACATTGAATGCAGGAGCTCAATTCTGGAAGTATATGAATCTGGATGCACCATGGATCCTACCACTGCATCTTGCGGGCAATAATATCAGCCACCAAACTCAATTGGTCAAGAATTCAATACATTACGAATCTGCCGAGCCTACGCGTCTTTGACGTGTCACTGAGGGCAAGATGGTCGCAGATTGCATGGAGGTAGCTGTCACCAGCATGGGGCCCCACACAAGTGGCTCTCCCACTTGCACAACGACTGAGCCGAAAAAGACGCGTGGGCGATGCATCGAGTTGGATCCCAGCACTAAAAGCTGCTGCAAAACAGTAAAAAATGCCGTGCTCGGTGTTTGGCACCTAGTTTTGCCATCATCTGCCCACAGTTTCCGAAGTGGAAGTGCGCTGAAATGCTGGTTTAAATCTGGCCGGACCACCCCCGAATGCCCGTGGGTCAAGAATGATATGACTTCTTTCATGGCACAGTGACGGTCCCCTTGCAATCAAACTACATCATGGCATGCGCTCTGACCGTTACCCGTCGCGAAAACAATTCTTGAATTGAAGTGGCTCTGGAGGTCAGAATTGCCGAATGACGTCAGCGCGTCTGGCAATTGAATTGAGTGTTGCGCAAAGCCCAAAAGATTGTTCTGTGCGATGAGCCAAATCAAAACCGGAGGGCTTCCATCACGCGACAGGGACTAGGAAAACCAGGTTTCCGATTTGCTTTTTGGCAGGTCACAGCCAGCTCCGACTTCAAGGCCTTGCACCCCTCAGTTTTCGAGGGATGGGGTTCCAAGTAAGTCCGCTTTAAAACTCTCCACGGCCAAAGGCAACACCATCAACAAGGGCCTAAAACATGATGCTTACTTGACCCACCTTGCGGCGCAGCACTACCGCCGCAACGCTATCGAGGCGCCAAAAAACAAAATAGGACACCAGTCCAAGAAGACCGGCCAGAACATCGACTAGGACACCTGTAGCAAGGAGAACAGGCATTAACTCAAGCCTCAAAGTTAAGCAATCTCATTCCGATCCCAAACCCAAAAGACGTTCCCACTTCACGCCTTTCCTCATCTCCTTACTCAGCAAAACGTGGTCAACGTATTGGTCCGACGCACACCAACCATCTCGATGGATATGACACCACAGGCTTTTTCTCTCCGCCCTCTCAGCTCGTGCCAGTTCCGACCTCAGGCATGGCAACATGTGATGGCCATGCCATGGCTCTTAAGTCAACAAAGCGCGCTTCTTGACTGCACCGCCGTACCAAGATGGACCGCAGCAAGTGGGATAGTCGCATCTGCATGTGAGCCATGAATACAACTGGGTGGACAGCAACACATCTACACCAGAAAACCGCAAGCATACATCCCCCAACCTTAGGGGCCCAGTGAGACCTAAACCAATTGCTGGGAATGAACACTTGTTGCATCCCCTCAGATCCCGCATGAACCCGCCCATGCTGGGCTTCCCGCAGGCCGACTCAAGCAGCTCCCCGTCCAAGGCCCAGCTCTGGCTCTCGGCCTCGGCCTGCGAGGCGGAGCGGTTCGGAGTCGTTTTTTTGCCACCCGCAAGCGCGTGCCGTTGGCTCTATGAGAAGCCATCCTGCCTGCCAAAAAGAAAGAAACACGAGTGGGAAACCTGGCAGTAAAAGGCGTCTGCTTAGGGAATCAACTGCGCTGGATTCTGGCTCCGCTAGCTGGCCTATTCGCTTTCCTTACCTGTTCAAAATAGAGCTGGAGCCCACTGGTGCTGCGGTTATTCTTCACAGCGCCCAAACAACAGAGTTTGTTCACCGCTCAGGGAAGCCAACACCGCAGTGTGCAATTCAGACTATCAACGCCTTAAGGGAGGCCATTCAAACTCTAAGGGGAATTCATCCAATAAGTACAGTACTCTGCTGAATCAAGCAAAAGCCTGCGCACATCAGCAGGTAAATGCACGTGCTGGACTGCGTACGTTGTCCAGGCTCACAAATCCAGTTTCGCACTCCAGTCAGGCGTGTTTTCCGCAAGCTCCCGATTTCTTCTGAAGAACTTGGCTGGCTGCAACAAGGTTGACAGCTTGGTTTTGGTGCGTTGCATTGCAGCTGACTCAGTCATTCTGAAGATTTGCCAAACAAAAATGGCAAATCTAACAAAGCGGTGATACCAAGCTGCGCCCCCCCCCCACGACAAACCCTTGGGCTCGCTCTCTTCAGACGCAGCCGAGCCGGCTGCCGCGCCTCTCCCAAGTGCCATCTCAGGCGCTGCAGCCAGAGCTGGGGCGCCTCGTCGGCTCTTTGGAAGAAAGGAACAGAGGGGAGTTTCTTGGCGCGTTGAACCAAATATTGGGGTTGGTTTTTGAAGAGGGAACCCCACCAAAATGGGGGGCAGCTTTCTCATTGCCAAAGAATAAGCCCAGGTGCTATCCCCAACAGGCTCCAGTCACTTCACGGTCGCTCCACCAAACCTGTTGGAACCGTACAAAACCCGAAGCAACCGCTCTCAGAGCCACTCGGAACCTGGGACCTCAGGGCTGCTCCCACTCTTCGGCTGGGAAACTCATCACGGTATCTATGGGCCATTGAGTATATAAGTCTGGTGAATTGTCCAACCGCAGAATGTGATCATATAGGGCTCCTCTTGTTTCCTGGCGTGAAATTCCTTTGGGCATGCATCACCTTGTTTGTGCGTCTAGAAAGTTCTGGGGCATCCGCCACGTTTGCCAGGTCATCACTCCTTGCCAAGCTGTTAGCTGATGCATCGACTTCACATCACATGCCTTGGAGCGGTCCTTGGAGCGTCCAAGCACAGGCTGCAGGCGAGCTCCTCCAACTCCGCGTCCTCGCATCTAAACGCAGGCGGTCTCCATTCTCCCTTCTCTCGGAACTATCGAGCCTGCATTGTGCCCCCCAGGCGGGCAAGAAGGTCCTGGCAGGTCACGGTCACACCTTTCCAATTTTCCAGATCCGACGGGAAGTAGTTGACTGCAACCAATCCAAATCTGCAGCTGTCTGCCGAGCAGACTGGATCTCAGATGTCAAATGCAATCTCCCGAAACTTGCTGATATGGAGGTATCTCGCAACTCTGCGGAGCCCTGTAAGTGACTTTCAGAAAACACGATCAGCTGTTCGCCTGAAGCTAATCCTTGAAGGGACGCCGGAAGGAAACCGACGCATCTCAAGCCTCAAACTATTCAGAATTGGGATTCTCAAAAAGGAAGGGTCCCAATGTTGCGTCCTGGCGCCCTTCATGCACGATGGACACGTTCTCGACGCCGCAAATAGCGGCAACACCTTCTTGAACAAAGCTCTGGCCTCCAGCATTGCAGCCAGAAGGTCCAAGAAGGACACCGGGCTCTGGCGTGCCAGCGCCGGCAGCGCCATCACCTGCGGTATTTTCGACCCAATTTTTGGGGCGTACCCCTGACCCGAAATCTTTTTTGGGGGGGTCTTTAGGGTCAGAAGCCCTTACATTTACAGTCTTGGTTGGTATGGCATGTTGTATCCCTTGAGGCAAGCGCAGAGCTTGTGGTGTCCCCCTATCCCCTCAGTCCATATCCGCCGACCCCTGAGGCGCATGGGAAGGGTTTGTCTTTGCCCTTGTCTTAGTGATGATTTTCATCACCACTGATGTTGGGCGATGGTTCACAGCATCCGGATCATCATCATTACCGTGGCGCTTCTTTTTTCATATATGTTTCAAGTGTGCCATTAGACCTGACTGGAGATGCAGAGGATGCGTCGTGATAATTGTCATGAGAACTGCTGCTGATGCTGGGGATGCATAGTGATGATGTTACATGCTGGTGAAGATGCGTAGTGACGATTATCATCAAAGGATGATGAACATATTTGCAAAGGTCCCTTACCAAGGTCAGCGCGCGCCAAGGCTGGCTCGAACGCTAACCAAAAAGGCGCGCGCGTACCCAAAGGAGGCACAACAGAGGAGGCCCCTCCAGAAAGGCGCGCGCGCACCCCAAAAGAACAGCCGCTCAGCGGAATATAGGGAAACCGTCGCAAACCCCAAAAGGGAGGACCTTAAAACCAAGGAGGGTGGAGAGGTGCACAAGATATATGTACTCACATCTTGACATGTAGCAAACGGACGAAGCGACACTCTTTCCTGCCGAAAGCTGTGGGGAGTCAGTACGCAGATACCCGTTTAGCGGGTAACAAAGAATCACATGACTCACCGGTGGCACATGCCACTATCCCAACACAAGAGCACCCAATGCTCTTGCACTAAGATCGTGTTCGAGACACATGCCTCGCTGCATAGGGGCGGGAAGGCGAAGCCTGGGTGGGGCAAATCAGGTCTTGATTCCATGGCAAACGCGAGGCATTACCCACCACAACCCACCCTAGCCGAAAGGCCATGTGATTCAAGTGTAAATTCAAACGCACACCATGCATCGAAAATCATGCAAATTAGTTCGCTTATAGCTGCACATGCAAAAGCGCGCCGCGCGCGCGCCGCGCGCGCGCGCGTCCGGGTACCAGGGTCACATATGTGTAGGAGTCGGTTCAGGAAACGCAAAGGTGGTTGGTCTGCTTCTGTTTCTGCAAGCGCAACACAGACACAACCACAACAAGCGACCTTTTTCAAATAAGACGCTATCTTCCTCTGGAAGAGATCTGGCCTGATGATGAAAATGATGGTGGACGAGGGTCATGATGAACATGATGATGAAAGTGAGGGAGGATGGTAATTCTCTTCTTCATCATGTTCATGTTCATGTTCATCATCATCATCATTCTCATCCTCATCATCCTCATCATCATTTTCATCATCATGTTCATCATCATGTTCATCATCATCATCAACATCATCATCATCATCATCATCATTTGCATCATCATGTTCCTCATCATGTTCATCATCGCTCTTCTTTTTCATATACGTTTCAAGCTAGACCCGACTGGAAATGCAGAGGGTGCGTTGTGTTGATGGTCATGATAACTGCTGGTGATGCTGAGGATGAGTCATGATTATCATCAGGATGACGATGATGATGATGAGCATGATGACAAACATGGTGATGAAAGTGATGATGATGATGATGATGATGAACATGAGGATGAACATAATGATGATGGTGGTGAATGAACATGCTGAACATGATGATGGTCCTGATGATTATGATCATGGAAGTGATGATGGTGGTGTTCATTGTCATCATCATTTTCATTGTCATTACCATCATTTTCAGCATCATGCTCATCATCATAATCATCTTCATCATTATCATGTTCATCATCATTGTGTTCATCATCATCATTTGCATCATCATGCTCCTCTCATCAAAACCGCGGCGCCCTTCTTTTTCATATACGTTTCAAGTGTGCCGTTAGACCCGACTGGAAATGCAGAGGATGCGTTGTCATGATTGTCATGATAACTGCTGGTGGAAGAGCATCGTGCTGAAAATGATGATGATGATGATGACGATGATGAACATGATGACGAAAATGATGCTGGTGATGAACATGATGATGAATGAAAAATGATGATGATGATGATTGATGATGATCATGATGATTATGATCACACTGTTGTACAAAAAAAACGGCTCTAACTCTGACCCGTGCCATGTAGAAAAAAAACGGCATGCCAAGCTTCACAATGAATTCATAGTTACCCCCCCCCCCCCCACAAATCACCTACTTATCCACAACACTTCACCAACAACTTGAGAAAAACCTGGCTTTCCCCCCCCGCCCCCGAAACGCCTTAAAAAAGGGGGTAAAGCCAGCACCGCCAAAACCAACCACAATGCAAAACGCAGACCCGTTCTGCCAAAATTGAAAAGATGCGCAGTCACAATCCGCACCTGCCCGACCACGCAGCGCGGATAACACGGCCAAAACCCCGAGAAAAAGTCCGCGAGAGTTTCGCCCTTCAGAAGAATGCAGAGTACAAAGAAACGCGCCAAGACTCGCCTCCTCACTAACATTTGAACGAAAAGCTGGAATCCACCCGCCCAGACGCCGTAAAATAGGGAGGCAAAGCCAGCACCCACAAAACCAACAGCAATGCAAGACGCGTGCCCGTTCTGCTAAAATTGAAAAGATGCGCAGTCGAGGTCCCCAAGATAATTTTCCTGCTCAAGTTGCCACACACTAGGGCACTTCTTGTAACATCAAAAGCATCGTGGCGCTCTTCTATGCTTTGAATGTGCCGTTAAACCCGACAAAAAATAGCGTGGTCGTAATTGTTCTAAGGAAGCCGGGGGCGGCGGCGCAGGGCGGCAGCCCTTAAATCCGGCTACGCCTCCTGGGGTAGCATGTCGCCGCTAGGCAATTAGCCTGCTAGCCTTAGCTATAGGGGCTGCACCCGGGCGCCGCCGACCCTCGCCACTTGGTCGTGACGCGCTACCTAAATCCGGCACCTCCGGCCACGCCTCCTGGGGTGGCATGTCGCCGCTAGGCAATTAGCCTGCTAGCTTTAGCTTTAGGGGCTGCACCCGGGCGCCGCCGACCCTCGCCACTTCGTCGCTACCTATCCGGCGCCTCTGCATCACCAGCTCGGGCTTGCGGTTTTGCTTGCCTGTGGGAAACCCTCGCAAAACATCGCGTGTGTGCAGGGTTTCGGCCGCGGCTGACATCATCAGGGTCTGGGGTTGGGCCTGCGTGATGCTTCAGCGGGGCTGGGGCTTGGTCTGCATCATCAAGACTTCCTTCCAAGAAGCCTCTCAACCCATGAAGCACTGTTTTTTAAAAGGTGTCGGAGGGATACAAGCGAGGCTCATTTTTGCGCATTTTGGCGCCAAGCGCTGCCAGGCATGGTGGCGATGCTGGGTCCTCGCTCTACAAAACGCTGCAACTACCGCCAAAAACTGCTGCGCTGAGCGTTGGGCTGTTGTTCTGTCCGTTTTGCTTTTGCTGTGGCTGGCTCGGGCCTTTTTGCGCGCGCGCTACCCCAGCCACGAAACGCTGCTATTTACGGTGTTTTGTTGCATTTGCGTTTCCAGGCTGGCTTGCGGGCTGTTCTTTTTGGGCTGCTGTTTCTGGGGCACCCCGGGTTGGGGCCCGGCCGGGCCCAGAAAGCTGGCATCCCCGGCATCATCTGGGGTTGGGGTGGGCAACATGCGTAACCTAGCCATGGTGTAACTTCAAAGAGGCGCCGGCTAGAGGCCGCAGGCCCAGAAAATAGAGAATTACTTGGGGCCATTTTCGACTGTTGCGTGTCAGTCCTTCCAAAAAGCGGCACGTGTTCGTGCCGGCGCCGGGGAGCCCGCCCAAAAACAACTCCAAAATTGCCAAATGTTGGCCTCGCGGACCGGCAGCCGCCGCTTCAGGGCGTCTGCAAAGCAATCAGCGCAGTAGTCGTCGCCTAGGCCGACATGGAACCGGGAGATCCGTGAGGGAAGAACACTTCACACTCGGGTCGGACATACCGCTCGTTGGATTCCTGCGAATGACCCACATAGTGCAACCGATGGCACGGTAGCGCAAATGTTCTGACAAAGCCCAAAGGGCTTGCACAATCTCCTGCCAATGAATTCACCGACGCCGGAGTGCAGTTGGGGTGACACTGCTGTTGCCTACCCCTCCCCTTGAAACTGGGCAGGGTAAACAGAAAACAGGGGACTGTCGCAAGATATCCCAAGATTGAGCACTCCAAGTGTCCTTTTGGCGTTCTTGCCAAAAGTTTCCCATACTTGTGGAAGGGTTGCAAGGCAAAGCCCGGAGTCCAATCCGAGGTGTTCCCAGCTAGGCTCCAAAAGTTTAAGCCAAAAAAAGACCACTTGCCATTTTAATATTAGGGTCAACCGCGGCAGTCCTCAGTTCGCAGCAGCTCCAACTGATCCAGAAGCCGCTCCACCAGCGCCTTGGCGACTCAGCAACTGAGAAGCTGAGGGAAAAACATGCCACACCATCCGTGGTGAAGAGGAACATCAAAGAACACCTGGACACAAATCAAAAGGAAACCATGCCTGGGCTGGATTTGTGCAAGAGTTGTGTCATTGATTCATTGACCCTTGGCCAGCTGGCTCACCTATAGGAATGCAAGAAGCTCTTTGGCCGAGATGCTGGAAGAAGCTTGGCAATGTACGGTGGCAGTGTCCTGCAAGGTGCAACAGGCATTGCGGGCAAGTAAGGCCTGTCAGTAAAAGAAGAAACAGTTCTTCCCAGCCACAAACGCCGCAAAACTCCATGACATTGTCTGAAGATGAAACTCTTGTTTCCAAAACGCCAAGCTTTCCCTGCTCCTTCCCTCCTTCAAAGCGGTAAAGCCGAGCACAGAAGCAAGCCTGCGACCAGCACATAGGCAGTCAGGCAGAAGCAGCGAATGGAAGGCTTCACGCACATGCCTCTGGGCAGCCCTGTGCCAACGTAGGCTCGGGTATGCATAAGGTTCAACCACTCCACCGTTTGAGGGAACGATTCAAGGGTTGCGACTCCCGGCCGACCTGCAGCATTCGCTGCCCTGAAGATGGTCCACCGCAGGCGAGACCTTCGCACTTGCCACGCCCAATACTTCAAGAACGTGGTCCTTCTGTGGATGCAATTTTGCGCCACCTAAGAAACCATGGGAAACCCTTGTTTGCTGGTATTTAGAGGAAGATCGAATCATTCCAGGGTGTCTCAGGTGCAATTCATCCATCCAGCCTGGCACCCTAGCAGAAGGTTAACGCATTGCTCAAACAGCAAGCGAGCCGGTGTCAGCGTGAGGGCTGCACGGTGGTCAGCTCTGTCAGCAGCAATCTCTCGAAGCCTGACAGTAAACAGCCAGCTGTAATTCTAACCAAACACAAGACATTCAGACTGGACATGGCGTGCGGCGTTTTGCACTTGCAGAGGCGCATCTTCCAGCTATGGGTGGGGGAGTTGCTTCTTCCAGCCTGCCTCTCCCACTGTCAAGCTGAGCGGTCCTTAAGAGGAACGGTGCGCGCGGTGATCAGCAGGCGACTTCGAGTGACTTGAATGCTCGGCGCACGGCATTTGCAAGCAAGCCGAGAGGCTGCCCTGGTAAAGCCTGTCTTCCTGCGCCGTCTCTGGAATTGCCCATTGAGGCCATGGTCAAGTCACCGAGCAGTCTCCCTGCACACCCCCCAGGGCGCCTGTGGCTTGTCCAGGAGCTGCCTCGGTGTGGGCGAGACAGACGAGAGGGCACTTTTGCTCGTTGCCTCGACTTGAAGCCCCGGAAAAAGAAAAGACGAATGCACAGCCCAAGGCCCTAGCTGCAACTCAACACATAGCATGAACGCTTCCAGCAGGCTGACCTCAGGGTGTCTTAGTAGGCCATCCAAAAGGTGACCGGACTGCGGTTGACAAGGGATTCGCGATACCGGACAATTTTCCCTGCGAGGTTTCCCCAGGAAAAACTCGCTAAACCCCGGAGCTTCCAATCTGAGGGTGATCCGATCTGATCGACGGGACCCCTTGCAACTGCGGCGGCTTTCCAACAGAGTTGGCGCAGATTTGGGGATCTCAACTGGAGAGCATGGGTTTTCAAAGCAAAACAAAAGGAAACTGGTGCTGGACAAGTCCCTACAACCTGGCGCCTACCAATGTGTGCTTTGAAAGGTCCAACCATGTCGCTTTCGCAATCTATTGTAAAGGTCATGCCTGTGGTTGCATCTTGGGAAAATGAGTTCAGTTGCTGCAGAGTGTGTCAGACCTACTTGGTCCCGTATTGCCGCTAAATGTATTGTCCAAGAAAGCAGCACATCTGCCATCAGGTCCTGCTCAATCCCTTCGGGCTTGTCTCCCTCTTCCCCTGAAAAATCATCCAAAAGAAGACCTGGTGAGACCATTTCAGCAGACCGGCCCTCGATCAATATAAAGTTTGGGTGTGTCTCAAAATCGGGGACCACAAAAAGTGGCCGGTTGGTCTCACTTTGGTCTCCCCTTCAAGCCCAGCCAAACCAAAAGCCCAAAAGCCTAAAAGGCTAAGTTGCCAAGAGCGACACGTTGTGACATACAGTTCATCCAAGCGCTTCGGCCTGAGCCCCAGGGCCCCAGACACCCGTCAGCTCCCCGCGCAGACGGCTGCGCAGCACGGCCCGCGCCTCTGCCAGCGCCTGGGCAAGCAATCAGGTCACCCAAGCCGTTCCTGGCCATGTAATCCAACGCACCTCAAACGCTGGCATAGCAAAGCATAGCAACAAGGAAGAATCTGGCGGCTCATGAGTACTCATGAGGCTGCGTTGCCACTTGCCCGTGGGCCACCGGGCCTGGCCAAGAAGCGCCATCACGCCGGGCGCTCCGGAGGGCTGGGTCTCGTCAGGCGGCCTCTCGGACCCGAAGCGCTGCGCCACCTGGCGCTGCGTTGAGAATCCAATCCGAGACTCGAGGCTCGGGACTTGAAATTCCCGAGGCCCTAGCAAAGAAGCGGGATCGTCAAGTGGTCACCGAGCCCCGGGCCATCTTCTGAACCCGGAGCCAGCGCAAAAGCTCCTGTGAAAGCTGGCAAAATACGTGGAGCCACTTATGAAGCCATGGCAGTCCTCCGTGCTCAGGTGCCAGGCCTTGGTTAAACGCCACTGAGCAAATATCCCCACGCAAGTTGGCCACATAGGATCTCGCGGAGCCCTCCCTGCACCATACGTATTTCAGAGCAACAACAAAAACGGCTTCCCCAAGTCACGAAACCACGCGCCACTAGCGGCTTGAGAGTCCCGCGCTGGGCATCTCTTGCAGCAAGGCCTGCGTCAAGTGCTCCGGGTGTCCCAGGTGCATCAGCGCCTGGAACCCGAGGGAGCTCGGGCCGGGGTGCACAAACCACCACGCCGCCGCCACGACGAGAACAAGCAGGACGACAAGAAGAAGAAGAAGAAGAAGAAGAAGAAGAAGGAGGACAGGAAGCAGAAATGAAGGAGGAGAAGAAGCACAAGAAGCAGAAAGAACAAGAGGAAGAAGAAAAAGACTCGCAACACTAGCAAACACAGCAGCAACCGCACCAGCAACTGCAACAGAACATCTGCAGCAGGAGCGGCAGTGACAGCGGCAACAGCTGAAAGAGCACGCACAAGAACAAGCGCACCATCCCGAGGGACAAAACATGAACAGGAATCCAAGAATAACAAAAGGACGAAGAAGAACTTTGCTATCAGAAGCTGCTTCTGACTTCTGACCTCATCCCTCAAACAAACTAGACATGGGCACTCCCACGACTCGCTTCATTCCCACTGCTCTTGCGACCTCAAGGCAGCCGATCACATGGGGCGTCTGCAACTCGTGCAGTTGCCAGGAGCCTGGCGCGCCACGATATCTGTTCCAAAGCTCCCGGATTCGGCGCGCGCTAAACTGCCTGCAGCTATCAGGGCGTCCACTGCTCCTTTGGAGACATCCTGGCCGTTCCAAACGCAGCAACGCACCAAGTCGGAGCCATCAAAGTGTATCTCCTCAACTGTCGGGGACTTAGTGACAGCCACGAAGCAAAGAAGCGGGCTCTCTGAACACAAGAGTCGCAACATCTCGACTTGCCCCCGAAATCTGAGCGCCGTGGACGGGCATCGACGTAGGGCACTCATTTGTCAGTCTGCAAAATGATAATTCACGTTGCCAAGAACATCTAAACTCACTACCTCCAAGAATCTGGGTACATGGGGCACTCTCCCTTTCAGGTACATTCTCTGAGGAAGCCCCCGGCAAGTCAAAACCAACAAAACCGCATGGACTTGCCAAAGGCCCCTCGCTCAATGCGCTGCCTCGGCCTGCAATGCTGCCAGCGCGGTCAACGAGTCCGCAACGCTCTGCGCGCTCATGTACCCAGCCTCAACCGGTGGCTTCTCCGGCTGAACCTGCCTCTGACAAACAGAAAACGAAGTTCAGCATTCGGAGATGGCAAAGCAAAGGAGCCAACACAAGCCCTGCAGTGGGTCAGGTGTAAGGAAAGCAAGTTGTCTACTGGCAACATCCTCGAATTCCAAGCAAAGCCCGACCCACAGTGCTGAGGTGCTTGGCCAGCTGCTGGACAGCAGTGAGAACAGGCTCCAGGTACGAACGCTCCACCTTCACAGAAGGAAACTCACTGATCATGAGGGGCCAGAAAATCCACCTTTACCCTGTTGGAGGCCCCCTCTAATTTCGATCGCAAAGGGAGTCCGATCCCTTCAGTCATGATTCTCATGGCTCCCTGCGTAGGCCACCCGGCACCTCTCAGCGCAGCCAGGCCCTGCCGTCCGGGCCCAGCGGTTGAGCTTCAACATGGCAGATCAGGACCAGGGGTCTCGTTTGGTGTCACTTGTATCCATTTGGGAAGCTCCTAACCACGACAACTGTTTGGGGAAGGGGTCAGCCTTAAGGCCGAAAGGAGACACATAGGGAGTCATGGAGGGGGCGTGAAATGGTCGCATGGCTACGCCGTACATACCTTGAAAGGGTGCCGATAAAGGGGTATGTGGGGCTTTCTTTTTGGATGGACCCCCGCACAAAGTGACCTTTTTGTGGACGGCCTCTTTCAAACAGCGTACCCTCCAAGAATCTCTCGCTCACACACACACACGTGTAGAGTTGTTGTGTGCCTGGTACTAGTACTCGTTCCCGTTTAGAGGGCTGGCCTAAGTGTGGAAAAACTAGGAACGGGGTGGTTCCTCTATTTCGGAATGAGCTTCATTCGGTTGGACCCCGGTGTTCATGTACCTATGGACTGTCCGCACATTCTGTTGGTGCGCCAACCATTTTAGCTCACTCGGAAACATCGGACACCGCCGATTTGGGGGGGTTGGTTCAGTGGCCATGAGACCAACTCAGCAAGGCACCTGCAGTGCCAGCGCCAGCTCTGCAGGCCGCAGCTGTGGCACCGCCTGAGACTGGAACGGATGTTCGCGTAGCCCGAAAAGGGTTTAAGTTTAACCGTTTTTCAAACAAGAGAAACACACACACGCCCACACACCCACACACCCACACACCCACACACACCCACACACCCACACACCCACACACGCACACACGCACACACGCACCACAAATCAAACAAACACGCCCCGAGAAAAAGAATGGAGATCGTAGGTCTGTCTTACAATGACACACTCAAAGAAGCCAAAATAATTCACTAATTTTGAGAAACACCCATTTCCGCTCCCCCGAACCAACGCCCTTCGGAGACATGCAGAAGAATTAGGCAGGTGGCAGGAAATGGAAACGAAACTGCGAGCTCTGTGCTGAGATGTATTGTTGAGCCAATGCTACAAAATACATAAAGCACAAGTGAAGTGAGGTCCGCAAACCAGTGAAATGTGGAGTGGAAACCCATAATATAAGGATCAAACCGTGACCTGCTGTGGCGATCCTTCAGAGTTTACAAGACACTACGGTGCATGGCCATGCTCAACTTTGTGGTAAGTGACGCTGGCGGATGTATTGCCGAGATTTCCGGACCAGAGTAAAATAGCCACAAGCCCCCCAAGCAGCGCTTGGCAAAAACGGAGAAGACACACAGCCCAAGGCTACAACTGGGCGGATCATGGGATCATAGCACACTCAACTGGGCGGCCTCTGTGTCACATCAAGAAGCATGACTGCGGGGCCCGCACGCCCCCAGAGCCCTAAAAACGGGCCAATTTCCGGTCATGGATTTAGGGAAAGCCCCCTGTTTGGGCTTCAGCTTCCCGCTGTCTGCTTTCATCAGTGGGTCCCCATTTCCGGGCCTCAGCCAGCTGTGGCCGGATCTGACGCCACTCCACCGTGTCGAAGCTGGCGCAGCGGCCGTGTCGCGAGGGTACCATCTTCCGCCGTCCAAAGAAAAACCATTAGGAAGACCGCCAAATTTGTTCTGGGTTCCCCCAGATTTCCCACATACCCACTTGGACCCTGAGAAGGAATGTGGCTTTGACGCTTGTTGGGGGTACTCTTTTTGGGGGTGGACCTAAAGGGGAAGCAAAGGGGACACCGCAGCCCACTTATGTTGGTTCCCATTTTGGAGAGAAACCCATTGCCCAGTCGCCCAGGGTAAACATAGGAAACAGCGCAAAAAGAGAAGGGTGCTACTGGACAAGAAACTTAGGCTCAATGCGGCAGACTCTTCGGAACGCGAACTCCACACTCCAACGCCTCTCTCGGCGCTATCGAAAACGTCGTGCAACATTAGCCTGCTGGGGCAACTTTGAATCAGGCATCCAGGCTCCCAGCAGGATCAAGAAAACGCTCAGCCAGACCGCTCAGCCAGACACTGAGAATCAACTCACCCGCAAAACAGATTGGCGCTGGCCGCATTTGAGCCGCAAGCCAAAGCTCCCTTCAAAAGACTCACTAGCGATTCAAGATTCAGATTCATCTCTCCCGGGATGGCTCACCTTGAATCCCCCGTGACGCGTTGATGCACCCAGCCATCGTCTTGCCAGGCTGCAGAACAGCCCCAGTGGGCCAGGCTGCAAAAGGGGCAAAGCGAAAGCGAGGAAGGTGCTCTGTACAACCGAAGCCTTCACAAGCAGAACCAGCTGTCTCCTTGGTGCAAACATCTCTGTCAAGTTCTGTGAACTATGAACTACCGGCATGATTCCGTCCCCCCCACTTCCACGGGAAAGTTGACGAGCATTGACAGGCGCACACACACACACACACGTGTTCAAAGGGCAATCCACCTTTTTCCAAGTGTCTAAGGCAGCCTGCCGAAATCTTGTCGCTGTCTGGGGAGAATCCACACCTGAGGCAAGACTGCTTCCATGGCACCACTGGCTGACCCGGCCTCTGGTTTCAATATGGAGCCCATTTTCGGGGGAGTGGGGTTCTGTGCTTCGCAAACGCTCACGGTCTTCAGAATGCAAACACGGATTGCAATCCTTGGAGAAGCCCTTTGAGACTGGCACCCAGCTCCCTTCAAATGAAAAAAACTTTCGCATGGCTGCAAACAGGGGTCCTTAGATTCATCTAATGACGCATCCCCAAAATGACGACCATCTCCGGGCCTTGACCATGACTGTGGGAAGGGCCCCATTCTACCATTCTCAAACTACGGCTCCAAGTCTATTTCAGGCAAACCTGCCTCGCAATTTTTGTCCAGAGCAGCGCGCCTCGAGCGCCTCGTGGGGGGCTGTGGCGACATGGCATCTTCGGCCAGGGAGGCGCTGAGCAGAATCCGGCCCTGGCGCGACCCGGCATCGCGTAAATGGTTGTCGTCCCCTTCGGTGTCTTCGAGATAAAGCCAAAATCAGATCTTTGACACATGCGTCACAATCAAAACCTGGCATTAAAATGTAGAACCCAAACCAATATATAGAAGTACAAAGGCGGCATGGCTCACATGTTGTCGATGCTGTCACGTCAGCAACTGTGGTCTGCAGCAACGGCTACCATGCAGCCTGCCTGGTCACTGATTTGCCTGCATTGCTGCGAAATGCTTGGCGATGTTGGCGAATACGGGCTGCTAGCAACCTTCGAGCGGCTGGGTCGACATCGAGGCAAGCCAACGTTTGCTCAAAGGAGGATGGAATGTTTAGCGGACCATCGAAGAAGAAGGCCTTCGTAGTCTCTCTGCAAACATATGTTCTGTTTTCCGAGCGTTGTACGTGGACCTTCAAGCTAATGTGACAAATGTTAAACATAGTCCGATACGTATTGCTGGGGGCCAAACCACGTGCCCCTGGGCAGGTACCCCTGGCATCCCACTGGAAAAGATGGCTATATACCATGTATGTACCCATAGTGTATTTAAGCTTCTGTGCTATTTGCAGGGGCAACTACCCAGGGGTACATAGTTGGGACCTTGGAGTATTGCTTCCAGCAATCTGTCGAATCAGAAGTCTATCAGGCTAATCAGTTGCGTCTTGAAACACAGAAGCTCGCGGCCAAGCGACGCTCCGCACATTGGACGCGACCAGCTCTTGTGGTATCCATTTGCATCCTGGCAAGGAACTAGCTGGAACGGCTGCCCACGAGTCCAGTGGCTATGCAACAAGAATAAGCAGCATCTCCAGCGGGGGACCACTCGGGAAACTTGCAAAAGATGTCCATTAGCTTCCGTTTGGAATACTGTACAATTTGCTGACCAAAAAGAGCGAGGAAGAACTCGGAAGCACCATTCAGAATGTGCGGATCGCAGCCAAAGGCGGCCGAAGGTTCCTCGGGATGCTAGTGCCACGTTCCCCGGCCTCCTTCCTAATGAGAGGAAGCTTATCAAGCCGCCGACGCCAAACAATGGGGGCTCTGAGCGGCCTCATTTCATATTATGTCTGAAGGTTGGTCCCACCAGCTACGCCCCCTGTTGAAGCAGGAAGTAGAAAGAAACCGGGAAGCACCAAAGACTGGGACCAGACATTTCGTGCAGGTGGGCGGCTGCCAAGCCGCTTTTGAGGACCCCCCAACATTGCCCACCCACCCACCCACCCACCCACCTGGGACTCCGCCCCTCCGGCCTCGGGAAAAAGTGACCTTTAGAGCGCCCGCGGGCACCTGAAAGCCCTCGGCCACCGTGCTCTGCGCGTAGAACGCCTACAAAAAATATCCCTCTCGCACTCGCACTGTGAGTCACAATGGGTTAAAATGGGACTGGCGAACAGCCGCAAAAAATATTGCAAGAAGCCTCAAGAAACCAGCGCATTGGGAGAGGGAATGCGGATGTGGGAAGACATCTCTCGAATTTAGACATAGCTGCCAGAAAGAGGTCAACAAGCATCACCACAAGATATGGTTACCACAACTCTGATGGCTGCCTTCAAATCGTCTGTGTACGGTTCATTTGCTGTTTGTTTTTTACATTTCATTGTTGGAGGATCTTTGTGGATGAATCCAGTCATAGCCCCTTTGGTGTCTTTCCACATTCGCACTCGGCAAAGCACAACTCCAACATGGACGCCAAAAGGAAAGCAAAGGGAACGCAGGGAAGGCTGAGGAACATATCCTGACAGACTTATGTGCAACAAGCTGGCGCGTTTATATTTCCGAAGGTAAGTCGTTTGAAGTACATATGTTTTGTGCAGGATGCGGTTGCTGGATGCTGAACGCCCTGTTTCGTCGTTTCTTGATCTTGTAGGTCAGGCAAAGGGATGCTGAATCCGACCACGGTCTGGCACCCTATGTCTTTTACCGGCCTGCACAACGCCTGGCATCCATGCGTGCTGGGACACGCTCCATACCTCCACCATGTCACCTGCAACGAATCGGGCGAAATCTACAGGAAAGGCAGCCTCACCGTGTCCTCAACCCCTCAACTCAGCCGCCAAACCAGCATATCAGCGGTAATGCACCCCCTGTCATTGAAACAGGCCAAACCACAACGCGATAGCTCCCTTCTGCCTGGACCAACATGAAAACATGGGGCTGGCTCGACGCGAAACCCGAAGGCCATGGGCTTCTGCCAGTCTCTCAACTCGGCCTTCCCTGAACGGGTAGAGCTCAAAGGAATCCGGCGAGCGCGAGTGCGAGGTGAGCCTCAGCCGAAGGCTCACAGCACTGAAGGGATGCACCGATAAACCCAAAGGGCGCCGCACCTCATGGCATGAACTCTGCCTCACTGACCTTTGAACGTGGCTTAACCAACCATCATGGCGCGTCCAATCACTGTGTTCGCACGTTGGGATACGTGGGTTGGCAGACACCTTGCGTGTCAGGTGACTTAGTGTTGTCGGGCAGGCCAACAGCCGGCCACGGACACAGACTAGAGAAATCTCGCAAATCAAGGATCCTCTCAGGGATGCTTGGTAACGCCTGAAGTTGTTTCTTTCGAATAATTTGTGCAGAGTTTTTGTAACGTAAAGAGGAAATCAAGGTCCCGCACGTGCAGTCTTAGGGCTCCTGTATTTCTGCTTCACAAATCAGCAACAACAAGTCTAAGTCGTCCCATCCCACGTCTCGCGGTACTGGGCTCAAATTGTAGACTGGACGACGTGGCTTTCATTAGAATCGGACATGTAGACTCATCACCATAGACCCACTCAAGTATCCTCACAGCTGCCCACAACAGCCTATTCCTATAGAGGCCGAAGTATTTGTTCTTCCTGGTCCTTTCAGAGCCTAGAGTTCTACAAAAGCAGCATAACCGTTTAAACCAGACTTGACCAGATCTGGACGCCCTGCACAAAGGCTACCTTCCGCTGGTTGTATGGGAAAATGACACACCGCACGATTTTAAGGCTAGGCCTTGTACTGTCCGAGCAACGGTGCTACTCCATACCATCCTCTAAAGGATGGAGACACAAAAAGGAAGAAGCTCAAGGGTAAATCACTCGTCTGACAACAAAAATAACTTCTGATGCCACCAAAGCTCCGGTCGCTGGCACTCCGAGCGGGTCGTGTCTCTTCACTGCTCGGGCTTGCGACCTTCCCATGCGGGCGCAGCCGATTTCAAGGGCAACCCTGCAACCCCGTTCGGCCGGTTAGCCTCAAGCCACAGGGAAACAAATTCAAAGGTGCCAGCATTCAGCCCAATCAAGGATGGTTTCTAGCTCTCCGCCATGCCGGATATTTGTACCAGTCTGAGGTCCAGATTCCGCGTCAGCTTGTCAGACATGTCTGTGCTGACTCAACCTTCCGTCTTTGGCAGAAAGGACCGGCCTCGTTCTCGGCTTTTTGCTTGCTCTCCAACAGCTCCAGCGCCTCCTGACACCCGCCGTCCCCTTCGCGGGACACAGATGGGACAAGCCTCAAACCTGAGAGCCTGTTGACAGGTCCATGTTAACGTCAGGACTCACCTGCAACTATAAAAAAAGGCAACCTGCAAGTCGCGCGAGGAAAACACAACTTCAACGACCTTGGGGAATGGGCACTGTGTTTTTCAGCAAAGGCAGCATCAAAGAGGAGCCAACACGAAATCAGACCTTGGAAGAGCAAAAAACAATGTTGAGACGCAATACCGAGGGGTTTGTCGAGCCAAAGCCCACGAGTTTGTTTCTCCAAAAATGATAGGCTTCAACCAAATGACACTCTGGCCAGTACGGCAAGGTTGCAATACAAGAATTCAGGGCCACCTGAATTACACTCGGCCCAAACCCGCGGCAGTGGCCAGAAACCCCAGCAGTGCGGAAGGTCGCCAGTCTCAGGGCCTTCCAGGTGAAGCGGTGCAGGTTCTCCACGGCCCCGAGGCGGGGGCTGGAGCCCGGCTCGAAGGGCCCTGCGTGAGATCCCAGCCCCCAGCCCCTCGCTGCAACCGCGACTTCCAGCTGGCTGGACATGTCCTTTCGTGGGGTTGACCTGAAGTCAAAAAGTCGTGACCGAGGCAGAACGGGAAGAACCAACGGAGCGCTCACTTGGCCTGTTGATTCTGAACCGGGTATAGGAGGAACACCTCTCTGATCCTCTCTGCATCGGCCAGGCATTGGGGCACTGCTCAGCTTGGTGGACGCAATGAGATCTCCAATTGGAATTGCTGGGGAAAAAGTCAGGTTTTGGAATCAATAGCATCGTGATCCAATGGACATGCTGAGGAACCTCCTAGGTCCTAATCTACGGATTTTGCCGAAACAAAACACAATTTCGAAAGCAGGAAGCCCTCCCGCAAGAAATGGCAACACACCAGGAGCAAGGGCTCAGGTCTCAAACCTGCAAGGACTTCAATCAACCGCTGGACATGATGTTTAAATTCAGACTCTGAATGCAGTGGTTATATGTGCCATGTCTACCAACCACTGTTGAGCGTTCGAATGGTGAACGTGCGGAACCAGCTGTTCGCTTGTTGCTTGGAAGGTGCAAACCAAGCGCTGGCCGCTCCCCCACGGCCCTCCGCCTGGGGCCAGGGGGAAGGGTATGAAGGCCCTGGCCAACGGCTTGCTGCCGCCTGAGCGAAAAAGCGGCCTTTCGGAGGCCTTCCGCTGTTTCCCGTTGGCTCAGTGACGTCCAAAAATTCGGCGATCGAAATGGCAAGACACCGAAAGATCATAGATCCACCACCTCTTGTTTGACACCCCATTTCTGATCCATGAACAATCCGGCCGATTGGCCAAAAGAAGCTCCGGCTGACTACAAACGCCGACTTCCGGCCTAGGTCCGTTTCAAGCTGGTGCGGAGCAAAGTCCTGACCAAGTCGTCTGCACCAACGATGGATGTCCGGCAAACAATACCACCCGCAAATGAAACACCCAAACCCAACATGTGTTGGACCCCGCTTTCCGAACCTCAACACGAAGCAAGTCATCATGGCAACACATCGACTGGAACAGCTGGCTCCCGAGCTTCCAGTCCTCTAGGAGCTCGGACACATCGCCCAGCACCTTCACTTTCAGCTTCTGTCTCTCGGTGAGGAGGCTCTTCGCAACATGTGACATGGCCATCAGCATCCGGGGCACGTTGCACATGTAGAAGCGGAAGCCTTGGTAACTTGCGGCACCGCTGCATTGGGCTGCATATGTGTGTGTGTGTGTCTTAACATGTCTTAACATCCTGCTCGGCCAACTTTCGAGTTGCCCAGGTTTTGATTGAGGCTCCTCTGAGGTGTTTCTTTTTCATACCTACCCTTTTCGGGTTTGCGTTACAGGGTTCGCCCAGTTCGAGACCCATATGACTTCACAACCGGCCTCGGCAGGGGTAGTAAGCCGTGAAGAGCTGGTGGATCTCCCGCAGCAGCGACACGGGGATGTCCTGTGAGGGGTGGATATGGTGAAAACTGGGCGATTCAACTCGTTTGAACCATGGTTGGTACCCTGGTTGGGCCAAACCCTCGTTTAGGCCGGGCAAAACAACTGTTGCTCGAACAATGAATCGATCTATGTCCCTTTCAAGGGCTCGGTATCTTCAGGCCAACTTTGCCCTGGTGATCCATGAAACCGACCCTAATCCAGGCCCACGGGAGCAAGCCTTTTTCATGCTCGGAAAGTATCAGGAAGTATGGGGATTGTGCGGGTGCAGTGTTTTTTTTCTTTTTTCCTTCTGTTTTTTGTATGTTTCCCCCCCCCCCCGAGCAGCGAAGAAGGCCGTGGCCCTGGCAATCAAAAGGCCTCGCCCTTGCAAGTATCCAAATGCCAAACCCGGATTGAATGATTTGGGAGTGTCAAAAAGAGATGGCGTGTTGGTGTGGCCTTGTCACATCATCCAAACAGGTCCCTATGTTCAAGATGTGGCTCTCCAAACCGAAGCCTCCATTTTGCGATGAAATCAAACACTTGGTATTCTCATGAACCTGATATCCCAATTCGTGGTGAAGCATCTGCCGATTTCCCCTCCCTGGAATCCGTCCTTAATGGCGACATCCCGTAGATCGATGATCAAGCAGGAGGTTTCCACCTTCCCCGGAATCAGCAGGAACTGCAACATGGCCTCGCGAGCAAAGCCCCGAGTTGTCGGAAGTTCATTTCTTGCCTTCGTTAGACGCCTTCCCTTTCCGAGGACTCCAATTGGAGAAAAACCATAGTGTTGTATAGCCTCCCGACTTTTCACATCTGTGTGTATATATGTACAATATATCTATATAGATAGAGTTGCATATTGTCATGTGCCACCGACTCCCAGTGCTAGCATTCTCGTGGCCACTCCTCCATTTTCGTGCTTGCCGCACTTGACACTTGCTTCACGCCTCCATCAGGAAAATCAGGACTCGTAAGAGTCGATCCACGTTGAAGTCTCTCCGCCACTGGTCAGGTACCCTAGAAGCACCTTGGGCGCATCACCTTTCAACTTTTACCAGCTGCCAGCTCGCACAAGACAGCCTTGACTTCTGCTGTTGCGGAGTTTTGGGACCCCTTGGAACTTGATGTCGATGGTTGTGCTTCAAAATAAACTTCAGGGTTGGGGTCAAATCAAACGCTTTGAAATACTGGACCTGGGCACGCCAATGTTTTCAGCCACGGCAAATTGAGGGGAAAGGAAGAATTGGCATATCTCACATCAAGGGACTTGTTTAGGGTGGGGCAGCAGCTGAAAACGTTGCGCACTGGTCCGCAGGTTCTTCAAAACCTGTCAAATTGGGTTGAGCATGACTTTTGAAAACCCCCTGGAACAGAGGTCCAAAAAAGGGCCTCCTGCAGGACACGCACACGGAGCAACCTTTGGAGCCGCCAAGCCGTTGGTTTCGCTTCCCATACACCCAGGGGGAAGAAGGGCAAATCGTCTTCGGTGGTTGATAAAGGGAAACCGCCCTCAAAACACAAGGACAAAGGCCTCACTGGAACTCTTGGAGAAAAAGAAAATGAGCGTCCCCTCAAAACCGGACACCAAATGTCAGGGCGCGAAAGATGAGCGCGGGCCGCAGCGCTTTGTCTCGGCCCCCGAAGTAGGCGAAGCCGTGCCTCGGTTTTTCACGCGCTTCAACACGAAACAAAGCTCAAATGATGCGGGGTCAGCGCTTCTTGGTCCATGATCATCCGCCCACAGGCCAACAATGTGAATCTTTGAGGTCACAAGGAATGCTGAGCAAAACTCGACCAGCCAAATGCCCAATGGTCAAAAGGCCGGCTTCAAACAATGGAGCGAGCCCTAATCTCCCAACAGAAAGCAAGCCATGGCTGGATCCACAGCCACCTTGCATGCAGCACTGTTCCGAAGAGCAGCGCCTCAAGCCCCATGCCCATCCAAGAGAATGAGTCCCTAACGAACACGTGGCCAATTAGCGGCAGGTTCCGCACTGTCTGAAGCTTGCAGGAAGTTCTGCAACAAATCGCATTGAAGCGATGCGCTCAGGATGGCGCTTGCTCTCGGAGTGCCCCAAACTGCCTTGAACTGTCCAAGGCACGAGATATCTTCTGCTATGTCTTCGGAGCGCAGCGGGCCATCCTGCCGTGCCAGGGTGTTGAGCATCAAGCTCATGGAGAACGGATATCTTGAAACGGGTCTTGCTAGATGCCCTAACGCTTGTTCGACTTTCTTCTTCGAACCAACATCTAGGGTGGATCCATCAATCCCCTCACCCCATCCCCCCTAAAAGGTTTCTTCCTTGGTGGACCCCCTTCTGCTGGCCTTGAAGTAGGTCTTGCGCCATTTGTCCGTGGCCTCCATCAAGCCGAGGGCCCTCTCGTGGTTGTTCCGCGTGGCGCTTAAGTACCGGGACGCCTCACGGCACACCTCCGGGCCTCACGCGGACTGGGGTGCTTCTGGAAACGTCGAACCCCTTGGGCTCATTTGCTTGCAGTTAAAAAGAGAAATCAGCCAAACAGCTTGCACATTTTGAGACGAGCATGTGCCTGTGACTGGATTCGACTGAGACACCAGAAGTCGTGCAGTCTTTCCCAGAAACACAATAGTCAGGGGTGGTAAGCAACCTCCGTATTCCTGACCAAGGTTGCGCAAACGCAGCGTTTGCAAAATGTGCCGACGCCCGCCCAACCCACACCCAGACAAGCCTCTATATATCTATTACATATAATATATATATATATACATATGAATATATGTATATACATATGAATAATATATATATATTAATATATGTATATATATATAATTATATATATTTAATGCATGTTTTTGGTATCCTCCCAAAACTCACTTCTGTCCTGCGATCCACCTATAGACTCAAAGCTCATGCAAATAACATCTGAAACTACCTGCACAAACCAACACATCTGCTATCATCATGTCCTGGCCAAGATCACAATGAACTACATAGCTCTTCATCTGCTTCAAGCTGCTTAAAACTACCAAACCCATTGTGCTTTTTGCAGTGCTTTGGCAGTATATCCCAGGGTAGGTGTGCATGGGGGGTGACCATACTACCCACGCTCACGCTCATCTTTCCTTCGGGGCTCGTGCTTGCAAGAGCAGGGCTTACTCTCGCTAAGCTAAGCTCGGCACTGAAGCGTTTGCCAGTGCGTTGCGCCTGGGCGAAAGGCGCAAGAAGAAAAATCTGACAGCAGGGGCTGGGAAGCTGAAAGCTCAAACCAAGGCCGTGGCAACCTCTTTGTGGCAACCAACCCCCCCACTCTCCCATGTCTGAAGTGGGACGTGAATGAAGTTCTGATATCTGGAAGCAACGCAACAGCGACCACAACCAGAACCGCCCCCCCCCACCTCCCCCCAACCCTCCAATAGCCAGAGCCGCCTCTTGCCGCAGCTTCTGCAGTGATCTCTGCTCCTCGAGGGAGAAGTCCACGTGCTCGTGGAGACGCCGCTCCAGCAATCCAGAGCTGAGCTTCACTAAGACCTCAGCCATGAAGTCCCTTTGGGAAAATTCATCAAGACTGACCTAACAAAAGGACGCCTGTGGAAACGAATATGAGGAACGGTCGATATTCATCCTGAACCCAATACTCAATATTCAACCCATATCTTGATGGTAGCTTGATGCGCAAGTGTACCCGATGCCAGCCCCTCAATGGCAAATCACGATGAGGAGTAGCCATTGCACTCACGGGAAAATTTGGTGCCTTGGATTTTGGTGGGTCAGCTGGGCGATGTCTGACATCGCCCCCTCGGCAGACCAACATGGACTCCACTAGACTCATTAGACTCAGTAGACTCACTAGACTCCTTAGACTCCCGGTTGTGGTGTCAGTTCATCAGCCGTTGAAAAGCCGGATGCTTGCACTCAGCTTCTGAGCTCTGCGCATCTTCCCCGTCTGCCTGAAAGCCCCACGCCTGGCTCACAGGGTTAACACGAAGAAGCTATGGAGTCCGGCCATGTCTCGAAACAAGGGGCTCCATTTCAAAGGAAAAGCCGTGTCCATTGGGATCTCTGGTGTTGATACCTAGAGAAAGTGAGAAAGTTCGACATCGCAAAGCCCTAGCCTCCTCCGGAAGAGTAAAGGCTGCCAAATGCTCGGGGGCCATCCGTATGGCGTCCACACTCTCCGAGCAAGGCAGACCATTGCACTCCATGGTCAAAAGAGGGGCTCGAGCCTCGGCTCGAAAGCGAGCCTCGGAAGATGGCTCCGCAAAGTGCCACTGCCGTCTGCGATCTCAAAACTAAGCCTTTGGAAATGTCAGTCGTCAGTGTTCCTGTGAGCTCTGCACATGACCATCAGTGGCTGTCTAAGATCATTCTAGACACCAACTTTTGTGGCGTCTCAGCTTTGCGAAGCTTTTGAACCACTTGCTGCGCATGTTGGCAAATGAGTAATTGCACAGGCAGCCCAAGCACCTCATGCGACAATGGAAATGGAAAAAAATGGCCTCCAAGAATTCCCAGAAATTACAAAAACTCTCCAAGCGGATTCTCGAAAACATGAAAACCTCCAAACCTGCCACAGACACATCTCTCCTTCCCTCCGAATGCGATTCGCATCGCGCACCGCTTGGTGGCCGCGGCGTACCGCAGGTGCTGCAGAAGGTCCGCATGGATGAACCTGGCGGATTGCGTTCAGGACCCCCGGCTGAAGGTTCCCCTAAGGTTGTCCCCTAAGACTCTCCAAATCTCCCAAGGAGATTAGCTTCCCCTTTTGTCAAGCTGCTTTGTTAAGAACCCCTGGCGCGCAGCAATGTACTCACGGGCTCATGACGGCTTAAGGTCCACAGGACGCCAGCAACCCAAACATTGCCTGAGCAACGCGTGCGGACCACGACACATAATGCCCGAATGGATGATGAATATCAAGTATTGCTCGTCGATGGTCCTTTGGCGTGTGTGTGTGTGTGTCAAAACATTAAACGGTATTCTGCATTCCAACCTTTCAAAACCTCCGACTTGCTTTGACAATCCCCACAAAAATGCTGAGGAATCCAAGCAAGCTCTTGCCACATCTTTGTGACATGCTATCGATTGACACCCATGGTCAACTTCACGTGGACTCCTGTAGCCCCCTTCAAGCAATCAAACAGAACAAGAAGTTCTACACCAACGCAAACGCAGCTATATTTCACACTTTCCTCAAACTCTGGATCCGCGGTCCGCCTTTTCAACCACATATGACAACCGCGTGTGATTGTTGTACTCCAGTGAAGTGGCTGTTGGACGTGTCCCATGGAGAAGCCCCAGTTGGATGTTTTCAATGAACCAAAAGAAAGTCAACCCAGCAAGATTTTGGGAAACCGAGGAACCTGGGCGGGGTCCCTCGGGCCCTCGATAACTAAGAAGCGCTGCAAAAGGAACCCCCCTTTCGGTACCCGAAGAATATGTTGCCCTTCCCTCCCACTAACAGTGCCCTTGATAGGCAGTTCGTTACAGCATATTTTGGTGACCCTAAATGGGTTCAAGCCACTGCTACGTGATTGCAGTGATTAAGCAATCGGTTAAAACCCCTTCAACAAGTCTGACATAGTCTGACTGTGAACAAAGTCCCGCACCTCAACGGGAAAAAGACACCTGTCAAATCCAATTGCCTGTCCCGCCATCGATCCCGCGCCTCTCAGTGCGCCGAGGCAGGGCCTCTGCCAGGCACGCGCCTCGCGCCGTTTGGGTGTCCGAGGCCGGTCCCACCCGGAGGGTTCAGTCGGGTTTTGGTATGACACCCTGGGTTACACCGGGAAAGGACCCATGATTCCAAACACGGTTTTATCCGGAGGTGCCTAAATGGGGTCAATACCCAGTGGGTGTATTCCCAGGGTGTAATACAAAAACTCTATCATTCAGGGAAACTAACATTAGTCATTATTTTACCATGATCAAAGTCACCACCTAAGTGGTTGGTTAAAGGGAAACAACCACTCTGACTGTGATAAGCCCCAGAAACAGTCAAAATAATGACCCCAGACCAAGCAACCGCCAACAGCCAGGATTGACCCGGTCGATGAGATGGTCATCTTGAAATGTCATGAAGATAGCAGCTTCAACATATCAATGCTCTCTGCAACGTGAGGGGCTTAAAGACAGGCATGCTGCAAGTGTGAATCGATCAACCCTCCTGCCAGTGAACTGGATTCAGCCTGGAAGTTACTTGATCAATTGATGTATCAGTCTTCCCCTTAACCCTGTTTGGCGGGTGCTCTTCCCTGGACTCTGGGCCCGCCTTCCTGGGCCACTGCGGCAAACCTGCAGGGCATGCCATTAAAAACAGAGTCTCTCGCCCATGGAAACTTGTTTTCTTTGGGGGGAGATGGCCGTTGCACGCAACTTGGCATTGGACTGCTTAGGAATTTGTGTCACCTCCACACAGCCCACTCCACGGTTCCCCTGGCTTTTGGTGGCACCGCCCCGGCACCTCCGCATTTTCGGCCATGGGACCGGTGGCGTAAAATGGCACCCGTTGCTTCAATAGTTTAGGAGTCCGCTGATTTGGGCAACATCCATGCGGTAAACAAGAGTTGGTAAGCTTCTTCGCGGAAGGCTTTTGGTTCAGCAGGAAAATGCGTTGCTCTGCTTTCATGGCATGAATTCCATGAGGACATAATTGAACTACAGACCATCTGATGATCCTGCGCGACCGACCTGTCACAGATTCAGAGATTCACCGTCACTGACGCTCACATCGGTCAGTTGCTATCAAGGCAAAAGTGGCTAAGTGGCACCGTTCAAGCAGGTGGAGTTAGAGCCTAACCACCAAATCCGGCCGAGGGCCTTTCATCAAGGTCATGTGCCTGAAAACCGTACCGCATGTGCGGCTTTCCTGAATGGAAGCAATGCTCAGCAAACCCCTCCAACGTCCTCGAAAAAAACAAAAAAACTGCTGCAACACCAATCCTCGTTTTGTCCGCGAGCGCGCCGTGGCCGTCCAGCAAGATAGGCTCGGGCTCGGGGCTCGCGCTCGGCCGCTCGACAGAGGGTGAGGCCTGGGACTCCATGCTGGAAGCCCCGACTCACCTGCGCTTGGGTTCGGCGCGCAGAACACGGAACACTGACCCAAATGCCTCAAAACGCCTTCCTTGCCACTGACCCAAATGCCTGCATAAACACACGCACACACGATCCACGGCTCGCTGCGCACCTCTCGTGCGTCCGCACAGAGGCTGTGCCGGCCGCCCCCTTCAGTCCAAATCAGGGAGGGAGCCCCTCCGAGTCTTGACTGCGTGGCAGAGTAAAACCGACAAAGCCAGGTATGGGTAGTTGCCCTTGTCTGGGACTCTCGTTTTTTGGCTCCCACTCGCCAACATGAAAGATGCAGATAGACAAAGTCTTCCTTTGAGGCCTGTGTGCCTCGTTCTGACAGCCCCAGCCTTGTTCGTGTCAGCTCTTCAAGTCCAATGTGACACCTCCCATGTGCCTGGCCACGGTTGCCACATGCACAGCTACATGGCGACGGTTCCAACAATCGGGTGCCACTTCTGGTGCTCTGTTGAGAAACAACTCTATCTCCCCATTCCGAACCTAGAAATCCGTCTTTTCAGCTTGCAAGAATTGCCTCGCTCTTTTTTGAGGGTGACAAACTCAGCCTAGGTCTCCACTCCCAGCATTTTCAGCAGCTCCACAAGCTCCGCCTCCTGCGTGTTGAGTCGCCACTGCTTTGATGGGGGGGGGGGCGGTCCCAAAAGAGAAAATGCAGTAGAAGGGGCGGTCCCTAGATGAAACACAAATAGGCCCCCTACCTTAGGAAGTGCACAAGCGGTCAACCCATTTACTGGACAGCTTGATGTCTCACCTCAGTTGGGTACCTCCAGATTGTCCAGGGCCAAAGCCCTTTCCACCGGCATGTACTTCTCACGTACGGCGCCTGCTCGGCGGCGGAGTCCCACAGGACCGTGAGGCCCACGTTCCCTCCCTGCGAAGCGGTCTGGAGGACGTGGCCAGTGAAGGTTGAGGGCGTTGATGTTGGAGAGTGTTCAGTTCCAAGTGGGCTCCAAGTTTGTAGGCCCAGATTGCGCGGCCCTTTTGTGCAAAGCGATCGCGCAATGTCAGGACGTCCAACATAGAGACCCTGCTTGGGACCGCTAAGTGGCAGCCATTGCCGCCTTTGTTGGGGGGCTGCAAGCAGGGGAACCGCAAGCAAGTGAAGTCTGATTGAGAGTCAGCCATGCATGTTAGAGCGTTCGAGCTGATTGTCATAGAATCAAGGAATTTGCACGAGGCCTTGTGAAAGTGCGAGCATCTTCCAAAATGCAGCTATCAGCTTCTTGGAGGAGGACAACTGGCAAGTTATGAAGTCAACATGAAAGACGGGGCCATCTGCGAATCTGCTTCTCCCCTCCTCTAAGTTCAGGTGTCGGGGCTAGACTGAGCTGGTCAGCAGTGAATGAACAAAGACATTATAGCCTCATGATGCACATACCCTCGCTGTGCAAATGCTCGGTACAAAGCATGTACTCAATCTCACATGAATCGGCGAACCCAGGGTACAAATCGAACACTTCGATTTCAGAATCTCAAGTGCGGTGGTGCATGCAAAAGGAAAAGGCCATGGTCTTTTTCACCAAAGGCTTCAAGGATTCGAAGTCCTGTAGTCACCCCCATTGAAAGTTCCGGCCCCTAATCGGTGTCTTGCTTGACATGGCTGCCCCCCGTGCCTGATCCGGATTTTAAGGATTTACAATACAATCCTTCATTCTGATCATCTCCTTCTCTACTGATTGCCAAACCGGTCGGCAAAAGAAACGGAAGGTTCCAATAGAGACACCAACTCCGAATTCCAACTCCGGCCTGCGGCTGCACTTGGCAGCAGAGGCTGCCCAAATCCAACTCAAAGGCTTCGCCGGACCCGCCTCAGCTCTCAGCTGAAAATGCCAAAGCCCAGTGGCGGTTTTTTGTGAGTTGGCCATGGCAGAACGTGGAGAAAAAGGCATGGATAAACATTTGAGAATCAGCGGTATTCCGGAAGCGATTCATGCCTTGGTGCCATGTTCCACAAGAAAAACACAATACATCTCGCCATGAAGCAGTAAAAAGCGCACAACACCGCAGCCTTTTGGCAGCCCGGCTCCACTCGTCGGAGATCCCACGCCGACTGCCCAAAGCACCTGGAGTGGCGCTTTCTGACGTTTTGGAAATGCGCTTTGGGGCGACGGCCTGAGTGTTCACTTGACCCACCTCCCAGTTTGGCAAGTCCGCCTGAGATTCACATGGCCAATTTCGGGCCTTTCCGCTGGATCGATTCTGTCGTTGCCGTTAAGCCGTATTAAGACCGAATGTGGGAACTCTGTGGACATGTGAGCTGCAGCTGGATTCCCACCCCTGTACCCATTGTCCAAACGCTCTGCGAGTGGGAGACAGTCCTGGTTCCCGTAGCAGAAGGCTCACATTTCATGACACTCTAGTAACCCCTACATTTATGCGGCGTTTTAAGATGCTAGGTGCTTCAATACATTCTTTGCATCCAAGACACTAACAGCTTTCCGGAATTTCTCAGCCGGCAGCACACAGCGATGACGAAAGCGCACACGCTGCATCTGTGCGAGGTGTCGAGGCCGGCAGAGTGACATCCAGTTGCGAACCCAAGGTTCCATCCAGGCCCCAACCTGCAGTCCCTATTTTGTTAGAGAAGTGTTGTATAGGGGGACTGGGTTCGTCTCAAATGCTCCAAGTGTGAGGCTGGGCCAAGGATCTTGACTGTTTGATATTGGATCTGTTCAATCACCCGGCAATCAGTGCTCACTTTTTTGTTGTTGAAGACAGCTGTGACATGTGGTAGTGTTATGTAGTGTTGTGTTTTCATGCTTCGGTCTTTGTGCTTGGCGCTGTCGCTCTTGGAGAGGCCTTCCATTGCATCTGAAAGTCCAAACCCCAAGGCCCTCGATCAGATTTCCGCTGGCCTTCATGCCACAGCGCTCGAGGCCTTCTGCAGAGCGAGCGTGAAGCTCAAAGGTGTCCCCTTAGCATCTCGGCGCGCAATCAATTTCAGTTGTGCCATGGTGCAAACTCCGAATCCGGTCATGGCTTCCTTAACAGGAACCTTTCAATCCGCCGGCATTGTTCGGCGTGTCGGAAACATCCATGACGCCCAACACCATCCATGACGCCCAACACTACAGCCCACCCCCCACCCCCCCCGGACAACACTCCGCGGGTGGCAAATTTTTGGACGTTCACACTTTGAGGAACCCCCGAAGCTTGCCCAGAACAGCCAAAGCTTGTGCGCGACAAGGGGTTCCCGGTTTCGACTCTTCTCCATGTCGGGGCCCGCAAGATCCTGGAAACATACGCAAACATATTCCGCGTGTCCCCAAAATTACAGTGGACATGATAGCGGGGACCCCGATGCAAAGTGGTTTCCCCATCCGAAACTCAACGAACGGGGCTTTCCTTCGACTCAAAACTCCCATCGGGTGCTCCAAAAAACAATTTGGTTCCCTTATGTTCCCTTTCGCCTCCTTGAACGCCAATCAACCGATTGGGTTCCGTTTCTCGCATCCAACGCCCGAGGGGTCGAGCCGAGCTGCTTTGCCGCTTCAGCAGACCCGTGAAGGTGGCCGCGACCGGGCCCGAGGCGAGGACGGAGTCCAGGACCTCGGCCAGGGATGGCTTTGCGTTTTCTTGAGGGAACCTTCAAAAGCGGTGCGGGGGGTGGGTAAGGGAAATCCGGGCTCCCTCTAACCGAAGGTTATAAGGCTCGCGCCCCCTGCCGCCGACCCACTGTAGGTTCACTCTAGGTTCACTCTAGGTTCACTCTAGGTTCACTCTAGCCCCACTCTAGGTTCACTCCACGTTCACTCCGTGTCGAACGGAGGCTGCATTCACTGCTAAGGGGCGAAGGATTTGTGAATTTGTTCAGGCGATTTTTGACGACTTGTTGAGCATAGCACCTGCATCGTCCGCATCCATGGCGGACATTGATGCGGATAAGGCCAGTGATGCGGAAAATGCTGGGGATGTTGTCACCTGAGTCGGGCCAATTTTGCCGAGAACGTGCGAAAACACAGTGTTTTTGAAGGTTTTTGGCGGGTGCAAACGTGGAAAATATGGAAACCTGCTTGGCAGGCAGGCCTCAACGGTCCCGGCCGAACTCGATTTTTGGTAGGCTTTTCGGTGAACCGCAGAAAAAACACTGTGTTTTCGATAGTTTTGTATGGATTCAAGGCTGGGCGCAAACGTGGAAAATGTGGAAACCTGCTTAGCAGGCAGGGCTCACCTCTCCCCGGCCGAACGCGATTTCTGGCAGCGTTTTTGGCGAACCAGTCGAAAAACCGAGTGTTTTTGCTGGTTTTGTATGGGTTCCAGGCCGCGCGGTTGCGAAAATCATGACAGCACGTGAAAAACTGATGCTTTTCGGGGCGCCCGGCTGTCAGGCGTAAGCCCTTAAATCAACTGGAGACGTCAGGGGCCAATGATCCCAGATCTGCACCGGTGAAAGTCCTCTTGGATGCTGAATGAGAAAGCGGTGAGACGTGTTGAGACAACCCACTGAAACCCCTACTCCATGACTCCGAACTCTCATTGGGCCGGAAATGGATCACAGACTGGCAGTTGCAAACGCACACGAGCATACGCTAAGCAGGCATCCAGTCAAAACACAACCTCCGAGCCCCGTCAGCTACCCAAGCAACAGCAACCATCAACCATTGATAATGACGCACCATGACACCATGTAGTCAACCATGAGTCACACCAGTCAACCGCCAGTCTCACTTGTTGCACGTATCTTGTGCTTAAACCCCAGCTCGGGTCATCAGCCGCTCAGCCCCGCGCTGGAGGGGGTGGGACCACCTCTGCAGACATGGCCAACGCGCTGCTGGCAAGCACCTAGCGCAAAGGTGGGTTTTATTCGAGGGTTCTTGAGCCTCCTACCCCCCAAGCCGGTGGGGTCATGCGCATTCCCGAACCAACCCAGTCTCAAAAGGATCTACCGATCTACCCATATCTTGGGATCTCAGAGGAATTCTTCCCAAGCCGCACTTGGCAAGATCCTAGCCTTCACTGCTCCATAGGCATGGAGCCGACGAGCCATTCTTCTCGCGCCTTGATGGATTCCTCCGTCGGCAGCTCCACGGCCTCCCCCACGGCGGGGCTGTGGCCTCTCTTGGGGGAAGCGCGCGCAGGGACCTTCGGGTTGAATGTGTGAGAACTCCCTGATACAAAGAGTTCCCGGCACTAACCATTGACGTATTGAACTCCTCCCCAACACAACTGGACCAAAGCCTGTTCTATTGGGGACCATTCGCCTTTCAACCAGATTGGCAGAGGATCGCCCCTTGGCCTGGTGAAGGGAAAGAAGAGCAAACCTCGAGGAAGTCCACCCCAATTTTAGTCAAGATGCCCAAATAGACAAGAACCGCAGAACGCCAAGTGCACACAACGCTCGCAGCCCAACAATCCGCCACTCTGTTAGTCCAACAGGCGGAGATGCAACAAAGTTGGGGGGGGCCCTCCTGAATAGCGGGAGCCCGTCAAAAATGGGTGTGCCTCGGACCACAAAATCGGCTGCCGTTCCCTTGACTTGTCTTTCAAACTGTTGTGTGCGTGTGCTTTTTCATTCCGAAAAAAGGCAAGCCCAAATATGAGGAATCAAACGCCGGAGCCTCCTTGGGCTTCCAGCAAGCGCCCCCAAACGGCGCTGAGGCGCTGGCAGGGCACCCGCAGGCGCTTCTTCACGATGGGCAGGAAGGTCTTCATCAACGACTCCCCGCCGTGCACCAGGACCACCTCCGAATCGGATGAACCCACCTGGATGGTTGACTAGGTTTCTGTTCTGTTTTGTTTTTCTTCCAGGGCTCGCGCCCTGCCTTCAAGACTCATGGTGGACCTAATCAAAAAAGAATGGTCGTCCAAAACCAGGAATGGTGGGAACCCCCAAAAATGATGCTTGGGGTTCCCTTCAAAACAATACCCTCAAACCCCGTCTCTCAGAATGACTTCAGCCAGGTGCCAACAGCAGATCGCAGCCCAAAAGAAACGCGGAAACAAAGGAAAAACAAAAAAGTGAACCAAAGGTTGGACTGCCCAAAACGAACTCCAAAATAAGAACTCAAGGAGGATGGATTGGCTGTCTAGCGAGCGCTCCATTCTTGGAGATAACACTGACCACCGGAACTCAGGGAGCCAAAAAAAACCATCCCTTTCCAATCGAAAGGCGGCAAATGCCCCAAGCTTTCCAGATGTTGTTCAACCCCAGAAACCAGACAAATTTGACCAACCTCAGTTGCAAGGGGCCCAATGGTGCACCTCCCATCCTATCGATCCACTCCCACCCCGCCTGCTTGGGCGCCGCCTGTGAGATGAGCTCTGAAATGCCCCGAGAGTCCGCGTGGTCGGAGTGCACCACCGTCTCCACCTCCGAGATCTCTGCCCGCGCTCCACAAATCCTTTCCCCCAATTTCTGCTGGAAACTAAGAGCCTATGTTTAAACCACCTTCTTTGGACTGTTGGAGTCTGCAAGATCGTGTCCAAGCGCCCATGACACCCCCCTCCCGCTTTTGCTGAGATGCAAACAAGTTCCCAGGCTGTGGCTTCTGCTGAGATATGATTTTCTCTCCACTGCAATCGCCCAGCTGATGAAAAACATGGGGAGGACAAACCTGAAGGTTTTGTCAGCCGGCAATGCCCTGCCTCGCACCGAACATGAATCTCCTTGTCGTCCAGCTGGATTTTACGGGTCTTGGCCTGGCCCAGCTCGAGCTGGGCTCAGCTGCAATCAACGCCAAACATGCGAACCACGCCTGCACCAAATTGCCCACGGTGCCGGGCAGGCAGTAGCCAGGTATCACCTAGGAGGCTGAGGCCAGTCAATTTGGGGTACAACCCAACGGCGATGACGAGAATCCCTTGAGGTCTCAGGCAATTTTGCCCGACCCCAGAAGCTGACATTTCCAGCGTGTGGGCTCTGCATGTCCTGCTCACTGCATGCGGCCGCTTGCTGGCCCCATTATTTTGCCATGATCAAAGTCACCCCCAAATGGTAGGTACAGGGCGACAACATGAAACAACCCCATTTTCTGACTTTGATATATCTCGCAGAAACCATCAAAATCATGACCCCTGGCTTGCCTAAGGCTGCGGCGACGAGGTTCTTGCTGTCAGGCGCCAGCGCCTTGAAAAGCTCCAGAGATGATCCTCCGAGAGCCGTACATGCTGCGGATTCCCCGCACGCTGCAAGCCAGCGACCAGGAAACAATAGGCACGTCTTTTTCGGGGAACCCTCATTTTGTTAAGCAAAACCAACAAGACTATATAAAAGGGCAGCAAGCATTTTAAGGGTTCCCAACTTTGACATCCCACAAAAACAAAGTCTGGCACTTGCAACACTTGGAGCACCCTCCGCAGGTTCAAGGGCATCTAAAATGGGGTGCGCGTGCCTCCGTCCAGCATGGCGGGCCCAGCAAGTACGACAGCAGGTGTGGTCCTCAAGACGGTACCCTTCACCATTATGTGCCTTGCAACTACAGACTGGGTTGGTCTTCGACCCCCCTGCAACAAGATAAGCTTGCTGCTGGTTATCGAGGAATTTGCATCTAGAAAAAAAAAAAGTTTACAGATTCATGTCACACCAAAAGGCACGCAATCCATTGATTGGCCAACCAATGGCAAAAGAGCACGTTGATTGCATTCGACTGATGCAGGGCTTCTGTAGAACAATCTAACAGTACCCGACTCCATGCGATCTGCCCCACAGGGCTTGTTTAGTTTTAGATTTGCCAGGGTTTAAGATTTTTAGGGTCTATTCGGGGCTTAGGTTCAGGATTAGGTTTACGGTTGAGGCATTTAGGGTGTGGCTTAGGGTTTAGGTTTGGGGTTTTGTTTGGCCTAGGTCTAGGGATTTCAGGGTTTGGGGGGCTTAGGCTTCGGGCTTTTTGGGGTCAGGTAGGGTTTAGGTTTAGGGTTTTAGGGTTTAAGTTCAATATCTTGAGGGTTTAGTTTTAGGGTCTTTGGGGCGCACGTAGCTGGCTGTGCCCGCAGCGGAGGCGGAACGAAGCGATGAAAAACAGGGTCGGGTTTGAAACCGGGATCTTGGTCGAAGCTACCCCTCCAAAGCCCCAAAACGAGGGCCCTGCGCAGTAATTTGACTTTTAGCGGATTGAAACACTCAAGCACCACAATTCCCGCAAAGCACGATTCCCGAAGAGGGTTTCACTTTCCGTAGCCGGGTTTGTGAGTTGGGGTATGCCTAGTCGGAGCTTAGCCGTCAAAAGCCCCCTAAACACTGGCCCTGCGCAGTAATGCGGCTGGCTAACCTGTCCCGATGGATTAGCCGAAACAGCAGAAGTAGTTTGCCTCCTTATTGAGCATTAAAAAAAAACACAATCCACACCACCTTGGGAGCACCATCATGGCCTCTATTCAATAATACCTCACACCTATCTTGATTGCCTACCACTTCTGCCAGGCGAATGAGGGTGCTCTAGGGTGAAGGCAGAAGGAGTCCGTCAGGGTTGTGTTGCTCCTTTAGGGCTGGCTTCAACGACCGCACACAACCAAACAACTGCTTGCAGGGCCAGTCGTGACCAACCAACCAGCACTTCTTCCCCCTACCCCCCGCCACGCCGAAGTACCCAGGCTTTCATCGTGGCTTGCGCACCGATCCCAAGCTGAGCCCGGCTCCCTGCGAGCACCTCCTCGGTATCCACAAAGCGCACGTGCGGGAAGTCGAAAGGTTTCGTGGACCCCCGCACCTGCGATGCAACACTGCCAATGTGGCAAGGTGTCAAGGTACGTGTCAGGTGTCTTTTTTCGAGGGAACCCGTGTTGGGGTGGTTTTAAATCAAAAGCAATACCTCCATTTGGGGGGGGGGGAAAAGACACCCATGAATCTGACTGTGCAATGCATCTTTCTCCAAACGATTTCCCTTGCCTTGGGCGTTCAGCCTGGCCTTTGGGAAACCTTAAGCCCGCCAAAGATCCCAGCTATGTTTACCACCATGATGGTTGCTCAAAAAAGAGTCCGCACCCCTCACAGGCTCTTCTCAAGGGGGTCACAAAAGGGCCCCAGAAAAGACATCCCGCCTTTGGACAACCCTCACATGAGTCTCCCTTGAAAACAAGCCAATGGTGTTCAGTTCGCCTTTCCAAAGAGAACCAATCGCGCCATCCAAAACCTCCTTGCCAAGTACACGGCCGCACACCAAAAATCTAATCATCGCCGATTCGTTTCTGCGGCAACTGGTTGGTTGAAATTGTGATCCCTGTTCCCTTTGTCTGTCTGTGAATTTTAGAAACTCTGCCAAAACGGCCTCTATCCTCTATCCTGAGATCAGCCTTGCAGCAGTCATGCCGATGCAGGCAACCATTACTCGCTGCCCTAAGGCAGCAATTGAAACCGTCAGCAACGCGCACTGCCCAATCACAGCTTCCATAGTAACTGCCACACCTGATTATCAATAGTCGGAAATTTGCGAACATGTTGGATAGCTTGCCCCCTCACTAAGGCCAAGCGCGGAGAAAGGTCCAAGTGTCCCAAAACAGTGTAACAGCCGCGCGTCCGCAGCAAAGCACTTGGATCCAAAATTGAAGCAGGGGCCCCAAGCCATCCCAAGCACAAGCGCACCTGCCCCGACAACCAGTTCCAGCCAAAAGCATCCAAGCGAATGGAACAACCAAAACAAGCGTATATAGCCATGCCTGTTCGTAAAAGCAAGTTGAACCCATTTGCATCCTATTTGTCTTGAAAGGGTACCACCTTGAAAACAACCCGTTGGAGTGGCAGTGCCTCACATACAGAAACACACGCTTGGCAACTGAATCACAAGCTTGCATTTGGCATTGTCTCAAAATATGCAAACCCTCAAATCAACGGCTTCCCGTGAGGCTTACCTTTAATAGTCCCAAAAAGAAAGCGCTCACCTGAAACCGCTAGTCCCAGCCCTGATGGTAGAAGAAGCAAATGAGGCTAAACCAAAACTTGTCGTTCGCTAGGCATGTCTCCAACCCCATCCCAAGCCACCGCAACCCCCCACCCGACCGGATGCCCAAACTCCAGAAACCTGCCTGCTGGCTGCCCCAGGCGGCGAAGAGCCGGAAGAAGACCTGAGCCTGCGGAAGTGATCCCGATGTGACTGTGGGTCAAAAACAGGGTAACCCCAAAATGGGTTGCTCCTACTAAATGGAAACATGGACTACAATCTGCGGTTTTTTGGTGGCTTAATTGTGACCCATACCCATGTGAAAACCAGACCCTGGATGGACCAAACTCTGCCCAAACCCAGTATGCGCAGGGCTTCGTTCATCCTAACTGGTAGGTTTTAGTTCATCCACAGGCGCGCCTTTTGCGCCGTACCCTTGATCACCTGAGAGCGGGGGGAATAATCCACCGCGCTTACCACATCTTGCCGGGGACCACATGAATCGCGCGCTTCAATAAGCCGCGCTCGCTCAGCAGCGAAGCCTCATAGCTACTTACTCATGGCAAGTTACTCCCTGCCCATCAAACCTGGGCAGCGTCCAGCAAGTCTCAAGCCCACTGCTCTGATCAAACGCTTGCGGCACAGCCTCATGACGGCTTATCCGAATTGCCTTCACGGCTGAAACTTGTCTGGTCTAAGTGCCGCTAATCTGTCAAAGCCGGCATTGGCCCATGGTGGTCCCCTCTTAAGGCATGCCAAGAGGCTGTGTGTTGCTATCCGTCTGGCCAAGGCACGAAAATCGGATACGCCAGCTGGGCGCGTGCCCAGTGTTCCTCGAAGATCATGCCTGGGTCGAACACATGTCTCTAGGGATCCACCCCAGAGGTCGGCTTTCTTTTGGGTTTTCTTCGAAACCAAGCAAAAAGGGCATCCTGGAAGACGAGCTTCTGACTTTTCTTCTCAGTGGAAGCTGTAGACAATCCCTGCTGGCGACTTCACATCCAACCCACCTGCCTCGCCTTCTGGGGGCCCCAGCACATCTCCTGGCTGCGGCCCATCATCAAGACCGGCACCAGCACCTCGCATCGAGACATCACGAGCCGGAGATCTTCGACCCTTTCTCGGTGGATCTCTGCGCCCTTCCAGAAAGAAAAAAAAGTGTTTCCCCTTTATATAAACCACCCCTCAAACAAATGCACACCCCGCTCACTTCTGCGCCTTTCCGCCCTTTTCCAAGCAGTCCTGCACCTGGCGCAGTATGGCAAATGGCAAAAATGGCGAAAGCAAACCACCAATTCGCCTTGCAGCATAGCTCGTACTCCTTCAAGCGCTTTGAGCTGCGGACGGTTGTGCAGCACCTGGAGCCGGAGATCAAGACTCAGCTAGCCGTCAAACTCAGAGAATTCACGACGTTACCGGGAAAAAGACACGCACCAGTACGTATTTCATCGCATTTCAAGCTAATCTGTGCTGAGTTTCCCAAATCGGACTGTCAGAAATGCGGCTGCAGATCTCTGGAATCTGTGTCTGGGTAGCCGGGCGTAGTCTCCGTGATCATAACATCCGGGCGTAGGCCCAGGGGAAGTCTGGCAGCACTCAGGTGGTGATCTGGCCTGGTGCGTATGGGTCATTTGACTCTTGGGGCTCCTGAGCGTTTCGCTTGGTTGCAAAGGTCCCTCATGTTCCGCGCGATGCCAAGTAAAAGATCCCCCACGGCAAAAGCTACAGGCTCGGCGCGGTATGGGCGCCGCGCACAGTGGTGAAGTCTCCCGTGTAGAGCGCACTAAGCCTGAGCTCCACAAACGCACGTCTCTCGAGAAAGCTCGGCCTGAGGCAGCTACCCACCAGCCTCCACCAGCACCATCACTGCCCCCAACCTCAAAGAAGTGCCCAAGCAGAACACATGAAGAGATCAAAGAAAAAATCAGGAATCCCTGCTCTCAGCAATGAACCCAGCCCTAACGACACTTTGCTTTAGGCTCCGCCAAATCACTGAATCCTTAATAGGCATTGCTTCAAGAGGAAAGCCGGGATACGGAAGACCGAGCCATGCAATGATCGTGATGTGGATTCATATCTTGGGAACAACCACCCAGGAATTGCGGGGGGGGGGGGGGGAACATGGCTTGCCTAGCAGCCGGACTCATCAAGTACGGGGCGTCCTGAGTTGGGGAGACACCAGGCCCCTCCCACCCCAAAACAAACAAACATTGGGGAGACCCCCCCCCCAGAAAAACAAACAAACAAACAAGACAAGACAAAAATGGGGCCCAGGCACGTGCCCTGCATAATAGGCCGTCACCGAGATCTCGCCCACCTCCACGCGCTCCTTGAAAATACTTGTTCCATCGACTAGCACCACCGCTCGAAGCACTCCCTGGATTGATGCAGCTGTGCTCGTTGGATCCACAGTATGCACATTGTGGCAAGATTCAAGTTATCCTCCTCTTAAGCATCCATGCTTGAGCATGGTATTGCCACAATGCATGCTGGGTCTGGATGTGGATATGTGCTGAAGCATGTCTCTCAAACTGAGCCTGGAACATCTGAACTTGTTCTTCGAAATCCCACCCAACATGATCTTCTGAAATTCACAACTTGAGCAGTCTGCAAATGGCCATGGGTCAAAAAACCGTACCCCCAGTGAACATCAAAATCCGCACTAAAATAGACTAAAAGAGTGGTGCACCCACCCCAAAATGGTACCATTGGTTTTGACCCACAGCCAAATGGCTTCTAATTTGAAACCACCAGGCTTGCACCAAAACCCTCCTCGAGCTGGATGCACCGTGCACGCTCGAAGCAGGCATCGATCATCTCCAGGTCATAGCGCGCCTCCTGACTGCAAGCACGAGATGCCACGGGCTTTGGGCTTTGTTTGGCTCAACTATGCCCAATCCCTCCACAAGAAAAAACTGCTTTTTGGCAAGCACCTGCCAACAAAGCGCGGTAACCGCTTGCCTGGCCAGCCAAAGGACGGAGCCTCCGTCCTTTGGTTGGCCAGGCAAGCGGTTAATTAACGCGCTTTGTTGGCTGGTGCTTGCCAAAACCAGTTTCTTCTTGTCGAGCAGGCGATTTAAAAGCTCATGGGTCTGCAAGGACGCTTGCCCAAGTTGGAAACCATCAAATATGGAAAAATCCCTACAGCACAGCAGCACCTGCTCACGGGCAATCTGCCCGGCAACCAAACTTAAAGCCAACCATGCCAGGTGTCTTTCGATTGTCCCTGATACGTCGACGCTTGCCCTTGACTTCAAGCTAGAAAGCGTGATGCGCCTCCCGTTTGCGGTACCTGGGCAGGCAACACAAAAGCAGCTTGCCATTCGCATGCCCACATGATGGCCGTAGTGCTGCAGGGGTAAACCTGACCCTTGACCAAAAACCCCGCCAGAAACTATTGAAAGATCCCTGTTGACAGTGATAGGGTTTCTGCTCTCTCCGCGGATCCCTCCCAGTTAATAACTAGGTCAGTTTATTGATCACGGCAACGCCTACCATGTTTGCATTCCCGCCTCAGCTGAAGGTACTCTCGCAAAATGATGGGCGCGATGGCGCGGGTGGGGTGCGTCATGAGCAAGGGCCTTGGCAAACTCTCAAGGCAAACCTGTCCAAACCTGTGAGTCCAAAGCCATCAGAGACGCTGAGGTGAAATGCACATCGCCGTCAGGGCCCCACCCATTGTAGCCCAGAACCTCTGTCAAGTATGGCCTGGCAATGCGGACTCAAGGTAGAAACTGCGCACTGCTTCTTTGCAGTACCTCAAGTGTGCTATCCCTTCTCTTGAACAAACCCAGAATCATCCGGGTGCCCCGCAGCGCGCCGGCATGGTCCTGCCAGGTTCCACAAACGGCCGACTGTCTTTGGGTCACAGGCGCAGGACACCGAATCTCAAGCATGCCCTGTGACTACAACTACCAAGCCTGAGCAGCAAGGTTTGTTTGACCATTTCAAATGGGTTTGCTGGTTGGACCAACCCTTCCTTGCCTCAAAGAATGGTACAATGTTAACCAGGCCGCTATGCAGTTGAATTTCTGAATGCGCGGTATCTCTTTGAGTCTCTATATCAACACGGCCCGCCCGGCCAGGTGGAAATGCGAGAGGATCACCAGGTCAAGCTTGCTCACATCCTTGGGCACTTGCACGCCCGGCAGGTCGAACATGGTGGAACAGCTGAGTCTGTGCCCACGTGCCCAAAGGCGTGTGGCAAGCACTCAGGTGATAAGAGCTCAGGAGTAGGAAGGTGGTCACAGTTGCCCTCACATGGCTTAACATGCCAACATGCTGTGTGCTCAACTGAACAAAGACACGCTGGCTTGGGAAGGTATCGCAAGACACAAAGGTTACGTGTAGCCCAAGCATGAGCCATGGCCAAAACCATGCAGCTACCGGTGGGAAGTTGAGTGAGTCCTCCCCCATGTCCCTCGCAAATTCCAATTTTATCAAACTACTGGATATGTTTGCCGACTCCCAGAACTGATCTACTCCCTCCATCCAAGCCACCACCGCAGCAAGCTCGGGGTAACGTCTCTCTTCTGGCCTCAGGTGTGCATCGTATCACTTTACTCTTTACCCGGAAATTTGATGCCGGCCGTTTTGGGGCCATATAGAGAGGCCCCCTCTATTGAACATACTGCCCGCTGGCCTCAGCTTCCCTCCCATGAACAACCCAACGTATATGGTCAAGCCACTTGGCCCATGGAGCATGGTGCGTCTGGTCCAAAACCGACGACTTGCTGACACCGTAGCTTGCACCTTTGGGCTGCGGGCACGGCAACGGCCACCCCACAGTCCAGAAGCACTTGACGGCCTGGCCACACTGAGGTCAAATTTTGAACCTCTTGCCCTTGAAGGCGCTGCAAAAAGAAAAGGCGCCTAGAAAGCGGCGCCTTCTTACTTTACAACTTCCACACACCTGCTCCCTTTCAAGCCCACTCACGAGGCTGATGCAACTGGTCGCACTCGGTTACACTGGACAAGTGCGCCTGCTATCTCCAGGAGCACGCAACTTCGGCCTAGGAGCTGGAGAAAGTAACTTTCTCCGCTAGAAAACCCCTCAGAGCCTGGGCGCCCGGCCCACATGCTGGCCAGCGCCCAGCGGGGTCACGCGCATCTCTCTCGCGGCAGTGGCTCAGTGGCTCTCGAAAGCCACTGCCCAGCATTGCTCAACCGCGAATCTTCAGTCGTGGCAAGCTAAGCAATAGCGGCCAAACAAGTACAACAGTACAACAATAGTTGCTTACTTTTTCTCATTGTACAGGAGCAAAAAAGGATGGCAAACTGCAGCGGGATCTTTCCTATGTCAAGCATACGGACTCAATGACTGCGGGAGAAGCTGGCGATGAATCGAGGAGCCTATCAGGAGACTGGATGACATGAAGAATCAACATATTGAGGGGTTGTCCCCTTAGGCGGCAAGCGGCACAGCCCCGTATGTAACATGGGGTCACACCCAACACCTAACCTTTGCATGGACCGCCGCCCTTCTTCCACAACCATCCCTGGGTCGCACCACTTTTTTCGCGTAGTGCAAGGGGAAAACCAATCCCCAATGCAGTTGTCATAACAATAGCAACCCTGCAGGTTACTGTCCATGAGCAAGCCCCACAAAACAAAACGGATATCCACACAGGTGGGTCTTGCTGTTCCACGTTCGTGGAGAGAGGCTCTGCAAGAGCCCCGAGCTGCGACCATCCCTTTATGAAGCCTTGGTATCATGCTCTCGACTGCAACACTTCGCATCTTCTAACTGCTCCAATCTCTGGCGCTAACTCGGGGCTGGAAACTCGAGCCCGGAAATCGGAACCGAAAGACCGTCAGCTTGGCTGACTGTCCCTGGGGAAAGCTGCCAAGGCACTCTGCGGGCCACAAATGCCAGTGACTTCCAGCTTCGCAGCTCAGATAGTTTTGTGTTTTTTCCTGAGCTGAGACAAACGGGCACTTCCATGAGAAATCTGTCTGAACACCTTGCAGAGTGCGGGCTCTTGGGCCGGCGATGGTGAGACGACTGCTGCTCATAACAAAGTAGCAGAGTAATGCTGAGACCAAAGTGGCAGACAAGCATGCTGCTCCTATCCATCCTTGTGCTCCTCTCTCTTGCCGCCTTTGCCTCTGACTTATATAAGGGGAGGCCTGAGCCTTGAGGGGATCTAGGGCCGGGTGCTTCAAAGCCCGGCGATGACAGCACCTCCCAGGCGCAGCGCTGTACCCATTGAGGCACCACATCTTACACCGACAATTTACAGCGTGGTCAACAAAGTCCGGGTCGAAAGGGTAAACCCTCTGAAACTCCTTTTGAAAGCCGTGCCACCAGACTGGACAAAATGACATTGACAGGAACGAGAAACGGGAGTGGTCGATTTGAAAGTCCGCAAAAGATCCACTGCAAACCATGAGCACATAGCAAACAAAACCTGATCCACCGCACGAGCACCGCACGCCTGCCGCATTGACTGATCTGCTGGGCCTGCCAAAAGGCACAGAGTGGCTAGACCGAAGCGCTGCGGCACCCGCCTCCCAAAGGGTGCCGATGGCTCCGGATGGGGGCTTCCGCCTCGCATGGTGGAAACTGGGCTCCAAACATTTGGAATCGAGTTCTGCAATGTATTCCTTTCTTCTGATGCAACAAGTTGGCCAAGGCAAATTTCGGCCAATGCAGAGGTGAGACGGAAGCAACGCTGGGGCACTGACCTGCCAGTGGTGATGGCTCCCGATGCCGACGTGGCGATGGCTCACGGCTTCCGCCTGAGGTGCACGTGCCGTCTGCGCGCTTCAAAGTCCATATCTTTATATGTGCACTTGACTTGATGCAAAGGTATTGCAAGACGCCTGCATCAAGAATCTCTTCTGACTCTATGAATCTCTATGAACTCGCGTTGAATGGCCGATTTCCATCCTTGTCAGTATGGAGTCAATGCGTCTGTTAGTCACAAATGTAGGAAGTGCCGAAACATAGACAATCCACCTTGCCTGGCCGGTGCCACGGTGAAGGCTCCCGCCTCACGTATCCAACGGGCAATCTCTGCCTCCATTGGCAAAGGACACATCTAGAAATCCAGCCACCCCCCCAGTGGCATGGCTTGAGCAAAACAAATGGCATCATGCCAGTCTGAGGCCCGCGCAGGATTGCGAATTCGCGGGCTGGTCGTCCTACCGACCTGAATGGATCTCACGAATCACAATGTCGGCATCCCATCGGGGAGGAAGCCAAAAAAGCCCAAGATTGTCAGAACCTTAGAAGGATTGTGTCCTTTATGGGGGCGGGCTGCCAATCTTTCCATATCCGCGTCTCCTGCATATTGTCGATTCCAAAGCGTGTCGCATCACCTAAGCTCCGAGCGGACTTCGCTGCCGCCGCGGGCTGCGCTGACGCATTGGTGCGACCTGACAAGCAAAACGCCGCAAAGCGCATGTCTAACATACAAAGCTTAATTGGTTGGACCCTTTGGACATCATTCACATTCAAGACTTATGTCCATTCCCCAAGACATGGGACAATCTGAGCTCGTCACCTGCAGAAACTCTCGTTTGCTCATCCAAAGACCGTGTCCCATGACTCGACTGCGAGCTTTCACCGGGCGCCCGGACGGCGGGCGCGGGTACAGGCGGCGAAGTCCTGACAACATCGGGTAAGCGTGCAGCGCCGAAATCTGTGGCTTCCAACTTTGGCGCCCCTTCAAACCAACCTCCAAAAGGGTGATTCGACATGGAGGGTGTCAGCATCTCCGGGAGAACAACCCAATTCTATGCCACTCTTTCCAAAAAACACAAAAACAAAGAAATACGCTATTCTGAGCAAGTAGAGGGTGGAAAGACTGAAACTTGCCGACCCCATCTCAGGGCGCCTCTGTTTCTCTCCTGTAAAACTGACCCCCCAGATAGAGGTATTCAACTTAAGCTTCAGTGGAAAGGTGATCTTTGGTTAAACCTTTTCTTCTCACCCGCTATGATCCCGGTCTCTGTCTTTCCCGCCTCCGGGGCCGAACCTGCATGGCCTGCGCCGCCCGCGCGATCCAGGTGCCGGGCCTCGAGAGGCAAGCTCTCTGGGCGCTCTTTGGGGGACTCTTTTCGGCTCTTTGGACTTTCCGAGGTTTAGATGACACATGACAAAGATAGGCACCAGTTTGAGAAAACCTACAATTTCCGGGGGTCTCCCCCTGATGAATGACTTTTTGCTGTCCCTCTCTGCAATTTATGTTTTTGCTGGGTTCCTGGCGTGCCACTATTGTGATTCTTTGCCCCTGCTTGCTTTGTTTGCTGTGTGCCGCTTGGTGGCCATGCCCACTGTCGGAAAAGCCTATCTCACTTTGGCAAGCGTTTGCAGCAAAGGCAGAGCAACGGTCTCATGGAAAGCAGATCTACTATGTTACGGCAATGATCATGTTTGCTATCCGGAGCATGCTGTTGGCTTGGATGAAAGCTTTACCTCTAGTGTGGTGCCACCGCACTGACAGTTGACAGCCACCATTGAGCAACTTGCGAAACCTTTTGCATGGACGAACGACACGGTCACTTTGCGCCGTTCCCTTTCAAATGATGTGTTTCCAAGTAGTCATTTGTCACAGAATAGCAAACTGAAAGGAGTGAGCAGGAACAGAAAGACCTTTCTAAGCGGGAACTCTAGTGTACAAGGTCAAAAGGCACACCCTTTTGCTCCTTTCTTGATGGTGGTCGTTCATCCCAGAGACCCCGTACGATCAAATTGCACAATCGCTTGCGCGTGTTGAGTGATGCCGAGTCCAACAAGCCCCCATGCCATGAGAGCAGCCGAACCGGGCTTCTGGCTTCAGATCAATCACGATCCGACCTCCGGCGCACGCGGCGCGCGGCAACGCGCGGCGACGTTCACTGACTTGCGGCAACCTGCCTTCTTGATCAGCATCGATGATTTGGGCTGGAAGCCACTCCTGGGTCAACGGATTTCAACAGGTACAGAGTCCATGCTCCGTGCAACACCACAGTCTTGCGGAGCCTCAGCGATCCCTCAACTCGTGCAGTTCCGATCTACGTCTTTGGGGCTTTCGCAGGTTGGCCTCTAGCAAGATGCGCAAAAAGTGCGGGGTCTTAACAACCTGACCGTTTTGATGCGCGGTGGCAAACGGCCTTGACACTCCACAAGGCCTTGCCTGAGACAGCCTCTGCCCACCTCTGAGCACGGCACCTTGTGGGTGCTCGAATGGTACTCGATAAAGTCACCCTTCCTGTTGCGTTCAGGTGGAATGCAGCCCCTCCTAAAGCCTCGGTATTTTGCACCTTTAAAAAAGACATGTTAGAACAGAACGCAAAGGCACGGGGGAGAAAAAAGAAGAAGAAATTTACACTCGGCATACACGTATCAGTGAACTCCACACCCCATCTACTTGTGACGTCACCCATTGTCTGAAAAAACTCTTGCCGTTTCTTTGTCAAGAATATCACTCCACGGTTGACGGCAGGGGAAGAGTCCAAGTTCGTTTTGGCTTCATCTTCCAATCCACTGATGCTGAGATTGCTGCCGGTATGTCCCGGCAAAGTCTGCCTGCCATGGTCGCTCGAAGGCTTCCTCATTTGGTTATGAATTAGAAAGGTGGAGAGCATCTAGGTGAGGATTCATGTCTACCAACCACTTGGGAGGGCGGTCCCTATCACACTTCGTAACTATTTGGAGCACGCCGATGCCTAGCTTGCACAATTACGACACATTCCATGATGATTTACCATGTGTCCAAACTTGGCTAGCAAAAAGATGCAAGTTGGGCCCATCATTGGAATTCCGCAGCCAAGGAATGCAGAAACCGGCAATACCAGGCACTCCGGACACATCCCTCCCAATCCAACTCCGCCGGCAGTGCATAAGGCCCAGATACCTCAGAAGTGAGGTGGGCCGTGATGAAGCGCAAGGGATCTCCATTCAAATCGGGGTACCCTGAGAATTTTGTTGGGACCTGTGGATCTAGGGAAAGATTTGGGGCCTGTTGGAGGTAAGGTATTCCATTGAACGCATATGGGGTAAAACCTTCCTCAGGGAATTCAATGTACAGAATATTGCTTTTCCTTTTTATAGCATCTGCGAATCTATGCAAAGGGTTCCCACAATTCCAGCTCTACCCGGTTCCTTCAAGGAATCTGTTTGTGTTTCAGTGCCACACACACACATAGAAGAATTGCACTCAAATGCTAAGCATGGTTTCGGCACAACTCTGAAGCAAGGTGCGGCTGCATGATCTTTCTTTGAGATGGGTATCCTTTGCTCACCTGTTGTCCTCAGTTTGTGGTTGCCTTAGTGGCTGCGGCTCGATGTGTTAACATACTAACCCCAATCATTATTTTTTAGACATACTTGGGGGAGGGTAGGTCTTCTTTCCCTTTGTCCAAGAACAGCCCATTAAAACGAACCCTCATCATTGAGGGAACAAGATCGCTGTGACTTCGTCGCATCCTCAGGCTTCGGCTCCAGGTGCCGGCGCCGGTGGCGGCGGGGGCGGCAGAGGCGTGTCATGCCTCGAGACATCTCCGCTTTTTCTCAGTTCAAAGCAAAAAGCCCTGAACCTTGTACACAAATTGAACACACAAATCATAGCAAAAGTAATTTCATGTCCATAGTCCTTGTGTTCTGGCCATTCACGGAAAACAAGGGGCGATGTTGATTGATTTTGAGACACGGTCCTGATGGGCCCATGGCCCATGTTACAGGATGCCACCGACAAGTCTGGAGTGTTCCCTCCAAGGTGCATCGAGAAGCTCCCGACCAGTGCATGCCACAAGGGGAGTTGCCCATATAACCCTTACGCCAATCATGCAGTGCCAATTGTTCACATGATCAATGTTCACAATGCTTTGCATCGACTGGCGATCATCCCTCTTCGCCTTGAGCAACCTTGTGCTTTGCCCACGTGTCGCAGGATGCTAGATGCGCCATTGTCAGAGGCAATGCTCGCAGTTCTCTGAAAATGAAGCCGACATTGGGCCGTCTACCACTCCAGACCCTTTGGCCAAACAAGCAAATTCAGACTGGCATACATCTTACTTTCCCAGTGGCAAGTGATAATCGGCATCCCTTTCCACCGTCCTGCAAAATATCCGCCGACAACAAGGCGGCGAGTTGGACACAAGAAATGCTCCTTACCTCTTTACCTGTTACCCCTCCCCTTACCCCTCCCCAGGGGGGTGAGGGATCAAAAAAAACTGCTTAGGCATCAAAAAAAGACATATTTCTGAAGATCAAAAAAACTTATTAGGGATCAAAAAGACTTATTCTCATTGATTTACTATTGAAAATGAAAAATCAGAGGGTAAACAAAAATTTACTTTTTAGGGATCAACAAAAACCTTATTCATTTCGTGGCAGGCGAAGCACTTTCGCAAGGTCAGGTACAGATTTCGTGGCAGGCGCGGCACTTTCGCAACGTAGGCGCAATGCTTTCGCAGGTCAGGTACAGATTTCGCGGCAGGCGCGGCACTTTCGCAAGGTCAGGTACAGATTTCGCAGCAGGCGCAGCACTTTAGCAAGGTCAGGTACAGATTCGCGGCAGGCGCAGCACTTCAGCAAGGTCAGGTACAGATTTGCGGCAATTGCAGGACTTTTGCAAGGCGCGGTCCAGATTTCGCGGCAGGCGCAGCACTTTCACTTTCGCAAGGTACGGTGCAGAGTTTGACGCAGGGGCATCATTTTCGCAAGCAGTGACGAAAATATACAGAGATATAACCATGAAGACAAAAAGGAGAAAACAGAGAGAGAGAGAGAGAGAGCGAGAAAGAAAGAAAGAAAGAAAGAAAGAAAGAAAGAAAGAAAGAAAGAAAGAAAGAAAGAAAGAAAGAAAGAAAGAAAGAGAGTGATGACCGAGGAAGTGATGATTCAGCAAAGGCTGCGTTAAGCTTTGTATACATTCGGAAAATCAGCGACGGGTTGGGGGGGGGGGGGGCGGCAGCCCCCCCATGATGTTCGAGGAAGTGATGATTCAACAAGGGGTGCGTTAAGCTCTGTAAGCATTCTAGAAACCAGCAGGGGGGTTGGGGGGGGGGCTGCTGCCCCCCCCATGATGTTCGAAGAAGCGATGGTTCAACAAAGGGTGGTGATGATCGAAGAAGTGATGATTCAGCAAAGGGTGCGGTAATCTCTGTAAGCATTCTGAAAATCAGCGGCGGGGGTTGGAGGGGGGCGGCAGGCCCCCCCATGACGCTCGAAGAACAAAGGGTGATGAGGACCGAAGAAGTGAGGATTCAGCAAAGGGTGCGTTAATCACTGTCAACCTTGTACAAATCAGCGGGGCGGTTGGGGGGGGGTTCCTTCCTTCCTTCCTTCCTTCCTTCCTTCCTTCCTTCCTTCCTTCCTTCCTTCCTTCCTTCCTTCCTTCCTTCCTCCTTCCTTCCTTCCTTCCTTCCTTCCTTCCTTCCTTCCTTCCTTCCTTCCTTGCTTCCTTCCTTCCTTCCTTCCTTCCTTCCTCCCCCCATAGGAATGAGAATAAGTTTTGTTTGATGCCTAATAAGTTTTTGCTGATGCCTAATAAGTGTTTTTTGGCGCCTAATATGTTTTTTTGATGCCCCAGGGGCACGGTTTCAGACGATTGTTCTTGCTCTGCGTCCACCCGGCGTAGCCCCACGCAGCCATGGCAGCAGTGAGAAGCGAGGACGGTCTAATTAGCGGGGGGCGGGCCGTGCTAGCACTGGATGTCTGCGCGCGCCGCGGGCTTCGTGCGTGCCGACTTCAACTGGGGGCGACCCTTCGAGCAGCTATCGGGCTTCGACTCAATCCTCTTTTCAGGGGGGGAAAGGGCCTCGTGTTGACTGCGCGACGCCCTCGAGCGAGCTCGCTTTTGTTTTTGACCTCGGCTCGGGTAGCCCTACGCCCAAGCAAATAAGCGCCGGCCTGCGCCGCCTCCGCGACGCGGCCGGGCCTGCCATGCCTCAGTGCGTCAGTTTTCAGACGGCCTCGATGGGCGCCACAAACTTTGAGAGCGATGTTGCGGCACGCCCAGCTCCGTAGAAAGCCGACCGCTCGAACCTGCTCACCCGGGGCGAGCGCGTGGCCGAGCAGTAGGAAGATGGCCCAGGCCGCTGCGGGCGACAGGCGCCCCAGCGCCGCAGCGCAAGTCAGCCACTGGGCCCCCAGCGCGCGCAGAAGGCGGTTGGAGGGACCTTCCGGAACAGCGCCGTCGGCCCCGCCCGCTGGAGTAGTCGCCCAACGCCGAGCCGAGACATCGCAGCGGCCGGCGGTCGGGTCAGAGTTAGCGACTTGGGCCCACAGGTCTCGGTCTGTCAACTCCAACTCGGGCCTCGGCCAACTTTCCACGCGACCGTCTCTGGGCCGACCCCTTTGTTCCTGCGCTTCCCTCGAGATCCCTTGCCTTTTTTGGGGTTCTGACTTTGACCGGGGGTGGATTCGACCGTTTTTTTCTCCGTGGGCTGTAATGCTTTCGACAATGAACTTCGAAATGGCCGGCGGTGTCTATGGATAAGTTCAAGTTGGGGTGAAACGGAAAGAAGAACTTCGAAGTGGCTGGCGGTGTCTATGGAGAAGTCCTGCCGGCCTGTTCGAGTTGGGGTGAGACGGAAAAGGCTGCCTACAAGCTGACGTGGATGTCCCTGTGGCAATACCAGCCGGCAGCGTGCGCTCGCCGAACCACGTCGCACCCCCCCACCGGGCAGCTCTCGGCGAGGTTCGCGGACCCGCCCCCGCGCACGGGTTCTCGGAGTTGGAGCGCCACGTCTTGCGGCCTCCCCAGACCCGTCGCAGCTCCGTCAGCAGGTCACGCGGCAGCTCGTGCTCGTATGCCAAAGACACCGTGCAGCCCGCCGCAAGCGGACGCGCCGTCCAGGCCAATGACTCAGAGGCCCGCCTTGCCATCCCCCCAGGGTGGCAGCAGCTCCAGGGCGGCTGTCGTTGCAAAGCCTGTGGGGGGCGAAGCGACGTCGGACAGTTTGCTCGATCACTATTCGGATTGGGGGGGAAAGGCATTTGAACCGGCTGCGAGTATTCGCCCCGCCTTCCGTCTGGAGCTGCTCGCAGGTCTCCGCTGCCCAGTCCCGCGGCGCCCGCCACTCCCAAGTCGCGCCGCTCGCCTCCCACAGCCCGTCCCGCTCGTGTCCTCGGGCAGGATCTCGGCGGGCGCCTTGTCGGCGTCTTTGTCGCCATTCTTTTCATCCCAAGCGCGACCAAAGCGCAATAGAAGGCCATTGGTCGCGCGGGGCTATCCTGCAAGCTGGGTTTAACACCTCAAAGTTTGAACTTAGAAACGGCTGCCGAACTCGCTTGCTTCGCGCCCAGCGCCTGCGGATGATGCAAGTGATGCTGGGGATGTTGCCCATACTGGTGAAGGAACATCTGGAAATGAAGGAAAATGCATGGAAATGAATAACATGAAGTGAAAGAAAGGGACCAAAAACAGACATAAAGGGGCATGAACCGAAGTGAAGGAAAGTGAAGGGAAATGAAGATCTTCGATCCAGGGGGGAAGAATAAATGTTTTCGGGCGGGAACTGGGGAGAAGATCGGGGGGGGGGGGGAAAGATGTTGGGGGACAAAGATGTTGGGGGACAAAGGCCTGAAAAGGGGGGAAGATCTCAGGAAAAGCAGAAGATCTGGGGAAAAAAAGCCTTAGGGGGGAAAGGGGAGCAATGATCTCAACACGGAAAGGGGTGGAAAAGTTCTTAAGGAGGAAAGGGAGAAGATCTGGGGGAAAAAAGGCCAACAGGAAAAGGGGGGAAAAGATCTTAGGAAGGAACAGGGAGAAGCTCTCAGGGGGGGAAAGGCCTTAGGGGGAAAGGATCTCAACCGGAAAAGAGGGGAAGGATCTTAGGGAGGAAAAGGGAGAAGACCTCAGGGGGGGAAAGGCCTCAGGGGGGAAAGGGGGGAAAGGATCTCAACAGGGAAAGGTGGGAGAAGATCTTGGGGAGGAAAAGCGAGAAGATCTCATGGGGGGGGGGGGAAAGGAGGGGGGAAAGGGGGGGGAAAGGATCTCAACAGGGACAGGGAGACAAGATCCTAGGGAGAAGATCTCGGGGGGAAAGGGGGAAGGGATCTCAACGGGGGAAAAGATCTCGGGGAGGAAAAGGGGGAAGATCTCACAGGGGGGGAAAAGGCCTAAGGGGGGAAAGGATCTCAACAGGGAAAGGTGGCAAAAGATCTTAGGGAGGAAAAGGGAGAAGATCTCAGGGGGGGCAAGGCCTTAGGGGGGAAAGGGGGGAAAGGATCTCAGCAGGGAAAGGGGGGGAAAGATCTTAGGGAGGAAAGGCAGAAGATCTGGGGAAAAATGCCTTAGGGGGGAAAGGGGAGAAATCATCTCAACAGGGAAAGGGGTGGAAAAGATCTTAGGGAGGAAAGGGAGAAGATCTGGGGGAAAAAAGGCCAACAGGGAAAGGGGGGAAAAGATCTTAGAAAGGAAAAGGGAGAAGCTCTCAGGGGGGGAAAGGCCTTAGGGGGGAAAGGGTGGGAAGGATCTCAACAGGGAAAGGGGGGGACAAATTCTTAGAAAAGGAAAGGGGGGGAAAGAAGGGAGGAAAGGGAGAAGATCTGGGGAAAAATGCCTTTGGGGGGAAAGGGGGGAAAATATCTTTGGGAGGAAAAAGGAAATCTTTCTCGGGGGGAAAAGGCCCTAGGGGGCAATGGGGGGAAAGGATCTCAAACGGGAAAGGGGGGAACAGATTTTAGGGAAAGATCTTGGGGGGAAAAGATCTTAGGGAGGAAAAGGGAGAAGATCTCAGAGGGGACAAGGCCTTAGGGGGGAAAGGGGGGAAAAAGGATCTCAACAGGGAAAGGGGGGAAAACATTTTAGGGAGGAAAAGGGAGATGATCTCAGGGGGGCAAAAGGCCTTAGGGGGGAAAGGGGGAAAGGATCGAAAAGCGAGAAGATGTCAGGGGGGGAAAAGGCCTTAAGGGAAAGGCCTTAGGGGGGAAAGGGGGAAAGGATCTCAACAGGGAAAGGTGGCAAAGGATCTTAGGGAGGAAAAGGGAGAAGATCTGAAAAGGCCTTGGGGGGGAAAGGGGGGGAAAGGATCTCAACAGGGACAGGGAGAAAAGATCCTAGGGAGGAAAAGGGAGAAGATCTCGGGGGGAAAGGGGGAAAGGATCTCAACCAGGGGAAAAGATCTTGGGGAGGAAAAGGGAGAAGATCTCAGGGGGGGAAATGCCTTAGGGGGGAAAGGGGGGAAAGGATCTAAACAGGGAAAGGGGAAAAACATCTTAGGGAGGAAAAGGGAGAAGATCTCAGGGGGGGAAAGGCCTTAGGGGGAATGGGGAAAGGATCTCAGCAGGGAAAGGGGGGGAAAGATCTTAGGGAGGAAAGGGAGAAGATCTGGGGGCAAAGGCCTTAGGGGGGAAAGGGGAGAAATGATCTCAACAGGGAAAGGGGTGGAAAAGTTCTTAGGGAGGAAAGGGAGAAGATCTGGGGGAAAAAAGGCCAACAGGGAAAGGGGGGGAAAGATCTTAGGAAGGAACAGGGAGACGCTCTCAGGGGGGGAAAGGCCTTAGGGGGGAAAGGGTGGGAAGGATCTCAACAGGGAAAGGGGAAAAACATCTTAGGGAGGAAAAGGGAGAAGATCTGAAAAGGCCTTGGGGGGGAAAGGGGGGGAAAGGATCTCAACAGGGACAGGGAGAAAAGATCCTAGGGAGGAATAGGGAGAAGATCTCAGCGGGGGGAAAGGCCTTAGGGGGGAAAGGGGGCTCAACAGGGAAAGGGGGGGAAAGATCTCAGGGAGGAAAGGGAAAAGAGCTCAGGGGGGGAAAAGGGCTTAGGGGGGAAAGGGTGGGAAGGATCTCAACAGGGAGAGGGGGGAAAACATCTTAGGGAGGAAAAGGGAAAAAAGTCTCAGAGGGAGAAAGGGCCTTAGGGGGGAAAGGGGGAATGGATCTCAACAGGGAAAGGGGGGCAAAAATCTTGGGGGGCAAGGGGACAATTCCAAAGGGACGCAATGATGTCGGCGGCCTGAGCCGGAGGCGTTAAAATATGTATATATATATATATATATACATATGGAAAAACTCGTTGGGAACCTCGAAGAAAGGCCACAGCAAGACCGATTCCGATTTTTTTGCGACGAAACGCGGCGCTTCCAATGCTTCAGTCCAAGGCCCCGGCGTCTTGTGGCCGCTGCTCATGCGGTCGCGGCCTGCGGATGGCGCCCAGCGACACCCCCGAAGTCCCGACCTCCAGGTGAGTGGCACCCGACGTTAAAAAAACTCGTTTCTCAGGGTGGGAAGGCTTCTTGTCAAGGCAGCCCACAAATGGCTCGGAAGCTCGCGCCTTCCTGAGCTGCTTGCGCCTGCGAAACTCGCACAGAAAGAAACATGCCTGAAGAAAAGAGGGGCGTTCAAGAAGCAACCGTGGCCAGGTAAATGGCAAGCAGGTTTCCCAAATTTGAGTTGGGACACCGAGTCCAACAAGCGAAACAACTTGTCGCACGCCACCTCTTTCGCTTGCCACCGAAACAAGACAGCACCGGCCTCCTCCAACATGTGTTTCACCTCAGGCAATGCAGGCCGCCAGGGCCGCCCCTCATCGCCTTTTCCGCGACTCAGCCAGATTCTGAGGACCCCGGGCCATGGCTTGCATGGGAGGACGCTGCAAAATCGTCTCAGCCTCGAGGAGAGCCCCGCACCGGGCCCCGCCTTGTCTGGGCCCTTCAAACCTTTGTACCTCAAGCCTGCTTGCGGCTACACCCGGCTGCCCGCAAAGGTAGACGTGTGTGATTTTCCTGAGCAACCCGGCACTGGGGCGATGTGCAGGATTCCTGGCAGGTCTCACATGAGCTAAAAGTGTCACGGGTCATGAAGTCATCACTCGTCCACCCTTCTTCAACGTCTCGACATTCACAAATGAGGGCCACCCGATCTCACAGCGAACCGATCCGATCGATGCCGTCCTGCTCAGCATCTCCGTGTTCAGCTGCCGCAGGAAGTCCGAGTAGCTGGACGGCAGCGCAGGCGTCGGCCCCCGGCAAATCCTCTGAGACAAACGCGGATCCGAGGTGAGCCACAATCGAAGTATGCCAAAGGGGCAGCCAGAACAAACGAGGACATGGAAAATCCAGAGAGTACCCCCCTGCCCTGCACCAAGTACTGGATATTTTGACCGAACCTTGCGGCCTGGGCTAAAATTATAAACTCGATGCCTCACAATGGTTTTACCCCCTTCAGACGTTGCACTTTGGCAGAGACCGTATGACCGTGTGGCGTGCCTGAAGCATGCCTCACACGGCAACCAGCCTCTGCACCAGCGTTGAAATATTTGGTGCATCGAATGGAACCTCTCAGGGCAGGCCGCGTGTAGGGATTATGTTATTCAAAAGGAATTTCCCGTTTGAAGACCCCACGGACAAAAGGATGTTCCGTAAGAATTCAAATTGGCAACATTGCAAGCAGCAGGCATCACAGGCACTATGATCAAGCATTGCTCGCCGAGCTCTTCATGCTGCCTAATATCATTAGACAATGCCGCCAGGAATGTGCTGATACTCATGAGACTGCCGATGCTCGCTCTGCATGGCCGGCAGGTACTGTACTTGAGCCTTTGACGTGGTTTGTCACATTTGTTCCACGCCTTGAGCGCACACAGCTCGTAGAGGATGCAGCCCATGGCCCAAATGTCAGATGGCCACGCGTAGGGCTTCTCCTGGCAAACCTCCGGGCTCAGGTAGTAGGGGGTTCCAATCCTCGGATGACGGCGACATCAAAAAAAGACAAAAGCTACCACCTGACTTCTGCATTCACCAGGGCGATGCCCTTGCACCGCACCCGCAATGCGTGCGGGGTAGTGATACAAGACCTGGCTTGTTCGATGTGCGCGACGTATCCCTGCAAGCTCCTTGAGACAAGGCTCTGAGTCCTGGCACATGCAAGAGTGCTGGAGAGCACCTGATGCAACGAGCGCCCGCCAAACAAACCTTTTCCAAAATTAAGGCGACCTTCTGACAAATGCAATGTCCGTGGCTTTGGGCTTTTGATGCCCTTGCAGCATGCAAGCACCAAAGTGAAACCTCACTGTCGCAGAGAGCATCAGATTGCCCATGAGACCTTTAGCATCTGCAATCTGCATGTTCCAGTGCGACAAAGGCCCCAAAGAACCTGGGTCACGTGCTGCAACGAATCTGAGCCCTTGGCTTTGGCAATTCCGAAGTCGCCCATCTTCAGATTGCCGCTGCTGGAGATGAAAAAGTTCCCCGACTTCAAATCCCGGTGAAGGACATGCTTCTCCTGAGCGCAACAAATCAATGCGTGAGAACACCGTGACCCTCACACGCTGTCAGGCCAGCTGTGAAGGGATCCGATTTGCAAGCTCACAAGTACCTTAAAGAGGGTCCTCTAGAATAAGATGATGAGACTAGGCTTATCACATAGAACACCACTAATTCTTGTTCGCTGTTACCCCTCCCCAATTCCAGTTGCAAAGTCGGCACTTGCAGTAGTCGCGTCCAACCCCTGAGCCCAGCGGCGTGAATGTATTTCAAGGCCAGCAGAGCTTGAGTGATCCAGCGTAGCACTTGTTCTTCTGGAAGCCGCTGGCTCCTCCTGCACAAGATCAAAGGACCTGATCTCTGACATAGCTTGGCATGGTCTCGGTTCCCGGGAATCCTTAGAAAGGCGACATAAGTTGATGACTATCCAACGTGAAGCCTTTCGGTCCTCTTGGCTGACTCAATGATCTTCGAGAGGTCCCCGCCCTCGCAGTAGTCCATAAAGATGCAAAGCCACCCTTGCTCGTGAAAGCTGTGTCGATATCGTACAATGTAGGGATGCTTCAAGGCCTTGGTCTCTCAGGTCGCTTGTCTCCCTCGCCTCGTACTGCGTGAAATCTGCTGTGTCGAAGGCTCTCTTGGCACAACCATTGCGTGCACACAGTTGCAAACACGCTGTCTGGTTACAATCCACCTGGGTGCAAGCTCAAAGATCTCTTTTCGAGACACAGAAACTGCCAGTAAGGTAAGATCAGGCAAGTTGGTTGGATGTCCATCCACCAAACATACTGCCCCGCTGCACCGGCCCTGTTAAAAACCAAACCGGCACAAGCTGAGGTTGCCACCGCCAAAAGCCTGCTCTCCTTGATAGCATCCTGGAATTGTGGGATCAAGCAATCAGCAGTGCATTTGTTCGCAGGTACAACATGCAGAAGCTTTGCGCAATGGTCCCGGAAACCCATGACTCACCGCTATCTGCTGCATGTTGCCCCCTGATTCCATCAATGGCCGTGTGGCCTCATGGTGGCATCGGGTGGATATGCCACCCAAAGGCAAAGGATCTTGGGATGGCCCGCATAAACCTGTGGATCAACCAAACGGCAAAGGACCGTCGCCGGCCGTTGGCCATTCGGCCGCGTCCTGGGTCTCCTTGGAGCTGGCGGCGCTCACATCCACGGCCTTGCACACCAGCTTGGCGCCGTCCTCCGCCTGCACCAGCAGCGCCTTCCCGAAGGAACCTGCGACGGGTAAATGAGGCGAAAACCCGAGCAGTGGCTGGGGAGGGGGGAGGGGGGAGGGGGGGCAACGCCAAGATGGTGGAAAAACCTTTGTGTGCGGTGTGTGAAGGTGTCGAGTTCTCCGAATCGAATTACTGTAAGGTTTGACTGAGCATGTGTCTTGCTAGAAGCAATGTCTCACAGAATCATGGATGACAGTGTGTGAGTTGCACTCAAGCACCCTGGGTCCACCTTCTCCAATCTTCTTGACTTCGCCGAAGCCGTGTTTGCCCAAGAGTGGGCCCAAGTCACGGTGTGGCACGGGCATGGCATGCTGCAAGGGCCGAGGCAACGCGTAGAGTATCGGTCATGCACATGTTTCGGATGTTGGCGCTCAATGGGCTGAGCTGGATAAGCTCGTTGCCGACTTTGCTTTTGGCTCAGAACTGATATCCTGTTTCACTGAACACTGGGAGTTGACTTTTCGAAACGCATGTCATGCTAAGCTATCTGAGAGCCGATGGCCAACACGGCCACACAGTGTGTGACACAGGCCACAAACACCAAAAAACGCCCCATGATTTCACACCTTCCCACATTGCTCTTGAAACTCTGCAATCCATTTGCCCAGATCGACTCTTTTACCTCCTCCTGCCTGTCGGGTCAAAAGGGGTGATACTCACAGTGCCAGAGCCTTTGGCATGGCACCGGGCGGCAATCCTTCAAGGAGCCACAGTCTGAAAACTGCCATGACCTTCGGCCATGGCTTTATTCCAACTTTGAAACTTAACCGCCGGCGTCAAAAGTTTTCCGCGCATCGAATCTAAGTGCCGCCTCTCTCCAAGTACTCCGTCATGAACTCGCTGATCACCCCGCGGGCCCCAGGGACCCGATTGAAGGCCCAAATTCGGCGACACGTATCCTGCGAGGCATAACAACTATCAATCCGGAATGCGCGTCCTCAACTGGCGAGATGGTCAAAGAAAAGTGCTCAGCCCCCTTCCCCATCCGTGCCTCACCCTGCTGCAGCTGTTGTCGCAGTGAATCCTTCAGAACCAGAAAATGGCCAACGCCTCAGAGCCCACAGCCTGACATCTAAAATCCGGTTTCAACCCCAGTTTGTAGAAGAAAGAACATTTTGAGCCACACCACATCTGAGTCTCACCTGGACGAACCATGTGGCCGGGCAAACAGCCCCCACTTGCCTCTTGACAGTGCGTGCCAGGCCGCCCTTGCCAAAGTCCAGGCGGCTTTCCTCGATGCCCACCACATCAGAGGATTCGCCTTGCGCTGATTTCCAGCGGACGACTGGGCAACCTGAAAAACCCTTAAAGCCTATCTCAGCTCCTGAGCCCCAGCCTGTGAGGGGGTTGGCCCAGGGCACCAAGTCGGCATGCCCCTCCTGAGCCGGCTCGGTTTTTTTTTTTTTCGCACGCGGCAAGCGACAGGTGCTCTCCTGGACCTGCACCAGCTGCGGGATGGGCGCGAAAATCACCACAAAGGAGCCTCAGGGACCCAATGAAGGCTTCGTTGGACATGAATTATGACCTCCTGAGCGAAGATTGTTTTCTAAGAAGAAAGTTGGGTTCGAGCTTGCAAGTGAAGAGGGATTCAGATGAGCCGGATGCCTGCGAATTCAGACAAACCCGCCTTCTTCGTCGCTCAAGCAGAGCACAAGAAAGTCCTCGGTCAAGGCTGATTCCCCTCACGGCCATCATTGCCCAGCACACGCAGGTTTTCGGGACTGTAAAAGAACCAACCAGAATTCACAGGCTTCCTGAGAAAAACAGCTGGTCAGCACAAGGCAAAGTGATATTCAACTGCCCGACACAAATTATCCTTCGAGAAACCCAGTTCTTTCAGTGCAAGGGAGAAAGGAAAACATTTCAAGCCCGGGAACTGTTCCAACTGGCTGTGATTGCCTATGCCATTGCGCTACTTGTGGAAGGTCAGGGTCGTGCAAACACATATGCCGGTTTCATCAAAAACTGGATGGTCCCCCACAATTCCTGTTCCTTTCACCGCCAGTGTTTGAGGCTGGCAAATAATGACCAGCACCAACGCACAGTTTTTGCCAGGCAATCCCCCCCCACCCACCCGCCAAACGGGTCCAGACCAAAAAGTGGCCCTTCACTGCAACGACCAAAAAGTGGTCCCATCCGAATCGCCAGTTGAGCACGCGGCGATGGCTTCGGGGCCCCCCAGCTTCTCCAAGAGCCGCAGCCGTAGGCGCCTTGGTTTGTGCTCGGTGAAAGGTATCGAGACGAAAAGCCGAAGGTGGGAACCGCTGGACCCGGTCTTTCAAAAGCCCTAAGACTAAGTGAAAGCCAAAGTCCAAAAGCACTGAACGTTTGCAAGACGTCGCGCACACATATATATATAATATATATATATATATATATAAGGTGGACACCAAAGCCGCTTAAAGCGGATACCAAATACATGATTATACATATATATATACCTGGGGCCTCCTAGACCTCTATTTCTGAAGGACCAAAAAAAGAAACAGGTTCTTGGCTCCAGAACCGTTCTTTGAGTCGGCGGGGCGTATTTTGACCCTTTGGGTAATTGGCTTTGAATGTTGCAAACTTGGCAAATGCCAAATGACTTTTTGAGGGATTGATGCACTTGGCATACTGCGTGTTGGCCACCACCCAACGCTTGGGACACGTATGGCCCAACTTTGGGGGACATATCCTTTGTCTTATACTTTGAGGGACATAACCGTAAGAGAAGGGTCAAACGTGTACCAAGCTGAGCTTTCCGATCGCTCGTTGCCCAAATGAGTGAAGGTGTGACTTGAAAGAAGTGACGCCTAGGTCGCTCTCTCTGTTGAATCAAAGTAATTTCAATTGGCCCTCTCACATGCAGCTGTCCTGATCACGGGTTTCACTCAACATAGGATGCCGTTTTGACCGACCACGAACATGGGATGCCACTTTGACAGCTTAACTCGCCCAAAGCAGTAGAACTAAAAGAGGGAGAGAGAGCCCCGGTCTCGCACGCTCATCTGCGGGATTTTCCCGCATGGACGCATCGAGCTGGTCTTTGCCACCAGTGGCCACGGCCTTGGACGGCGCTGATCAGGGATGCGTTTCAAAGCTAGGACCCAAGGCTGTTCATAACATTGGCTGATGGGGAAAAGCCCTAACAAGGAAGCTTTCACATAAGCTTACAATTGTTTCCAACAGGGGGCCCTTTCCTTGATATCTTTAGACAGGTGGGGTTGACAGAGCAGGAACCGGGCGGTTGGTTTTTTCGTTCAATATCAAGCCTCAAGAGTTTTGGGCCTCCACCATTTCTTAGAATTTGACAACAAGCGTAGGCAACCAATTCAGGAATTCAATCCACGCAGCTTTTGGCAAAAATCGCTTATACGTCAGGAGCTGGAATGTGTACCAGAGGGTGGACAGAAGCTTTCACAACCTTGTTTCATTTCGAGTTTGAACAATTGTGAAGCTGTTGTTGAGGGATGTACGCAGGAAACGTCAGCCCCTTACTTGTCCCAGCCCATCCTGGAAACTTAGTGAAGTTCCCTTTTGGCACTCCCATACAGTGGAAGTGCTTTCATCACAAGGGTGCGTTTGAAGAGCTGGTTGAAATTTGATTGATTTGGGCAAAGATTTTGGCCCTGCTACAAGCCCTGACAGCCCTAGACAGCCAGCCATGACCAGCGCTGATGCTGCGGGAACGCCTACCTCTATTGGCCTTGCGCAAAAGTGGGAAGAGACTCGGGAACTGAGGGATAGGTTGCGCTCAACCGGATCCCTGCTGAAGTTTGAGTCCGGCCTGGACCTGCCTACCATCACAGTCAAGAGCGCCGAAGCAAACTTCGACGTTTTGATGCCCCTGGTCTTGCTGCTCCGTGATGACAACTCGGGGGATGTTGCAACACCAGGCATCAAGCTGTTGGAGGCAGAGCTTTTCGGCGGGCACTAACAAGTTTTCTGATAGGTAAAACCCTGTCATCAAGCTCACCTTCTTCATCACCCCTCCCATGACACAGGTCAGCATTAGCTAGAGTGTTGCTTCGGCCTGGATGCTACCTTTTAGAACTGGCACGGTGGTCTTGTTCTGAGTGGAATTCGGGATTCCCTCACCCACAAACCCACCACCTCGCTTTGGATGAGATGCCGAAACCCCTTCTTATCAGAAAGATTCAATTAGCCTGCTGATAAGGCTCACCAACTTCGCCAAGTTACTCGGCATCAACCAGAACAAGAAAGAGAGGAAGCTAGATGCCTGGCAGCTTAAAAAGCACGTGGTCCTGATCAAGCGGAAGCTTCAAAGGGGCCAAGTTCCGCGGTCGGCCAGCTTCCGACAACTGATGGCAGCCCTACACCCTGCCTTTGAAAACTTTGAGGACCGTCTTTTCTTGAGATTGCACTTGAGGTTCGGACCTTTCTTGAACGCATACATAATCTTGGCGGCCATCGATGGGTTCTGCAATTACTTACGCACAAGGCAGAGAACACTTAAAATAGGCCCAGGAACCCTACTGTTACTCTACTGCATAGTCTATGCGTGTATTTGTTTGAGAAACGCTTGTGTGGGCGGTGGCTTGACCAAATCGTTTTCTGCTTTGTTCTTCGCAGGGCGATCCCGACGGCCCTCTTGCGGACCAGCTTGCGGAAGTGGCGGAGGACGAGGACGAAGTGCTACAGATTGAGGATGATGAGGATGAGGCTGAGCTGCCTACTGACGATCACGCAGGGGCGTTCGATTGCACGCAGGTGGACAAGTCCGACGAGGAGCAGGGCGCTGACGTTGCTGCAAGTTCCCAGAACGACATGGATTTGCAGAAGCCCGGGAAACAGTTTCCTGAGGGAGACGTGGACTACATGAAGCAGGAGATCAGCAGGCTGAAGAAGCTTCGCAGCTCCTTGCTTCTCGGCTCATTTGGGCAGCCAAGAAACTGCAGATTCGTAGGGGTTTAAGAGAAGCTCTCATTCGCTTGTGGTTCAAAACCAACACGCAACTGTTAAACCCGTGTCAACTGACCAACGAGCTTTGGCGATTGAGCGGGTAGTTTGGACGGAGCCTAAAGAGCAAGCCAGGTTGGCCAGACAGCTTTCCGCATCGTCTACACCGAGTGAGTCCGCAAAGCCTACTGGGCACGGCGCTGGCCAGCACGAGGCCATCATCATTGATGACTCATTGCCCTATGGGGACGACGCTGCGGACACGCAGCTGGCTTCTGCGACCAGTATCGAGACAGCGATGCAGCGCTTCCAGCTAGAGGTCCCGGACGCGGACCTTCAGGATCCTACGGATGGGGGCAAGCCTGACCCTTGCATCAATTCTGGCAGTGATGTTTGTTTTGAAACTTGCAACGGATGGCAACAATGAAATGCGCAATCTGAAATCCACAGCAACCCTGTGATATTTGTTTGGAGGTGTTACGACGTGACCAGCTACGCTTGAAGGCGACGGGCGATGAGGAAGAGGAGGGTGATCCGAACAAGCCCAAGACCAAGGGCAAGGGTCGAGGCGGTCGAGGGCGAGGTCAAAGTCGCGGCGCAGGCAGAGGTCGCGGCAGGGGGAAGAAGAAGGCAGACGAGCAGACCCCCCACGGAAAAGGCTCCCGGCAAGAAGCCGAAGGAGAAGAGTCTCGAGATGGAGGCCACGGAGAAAAGCCCCAAAGCGGAGGCCAAGGATGAGGATGAGAAGAAGGTCGAGGGAAAGAGCCCTGAGACACCCAAGGATGAGGATGAGAAGAAGGTCGAGGGAAAGAGCCCTGAGACACCCAAGGATGAGGATGAGAAGAAGGTTGAGGTGCCCAAGGATGAGATTGAGAAGAAGGTCAAGGGGAAGGGTTCGGAGAAGAAGGTCAAGGTGCCTCAGAAGAAGGCCAAGGAGAAGAGGCTGGAGACGGAGGTCGAGGAGAAGATCCCGGAGCAGGAGCCAAAGAAGACGGTCAAGCGCCAGCGTGTGTCTGACCCCAGGGAGATTGATGAGCCGAAGCCTAAAGCAAAGGCGAAGGCTGGAGCTGCAAGGGGAAAGCGCGCACGTGCTGAGCAGGGAGAGCAGGAGGGGGCTCCTGATGCGGCTGGAGCTGGAGCATCGACGTTTGCGAGGCGCAAGCGGCCGAACACAGAGCTAGGCGCTATGAAGTGGGGCGCGTTGCGGCAGGCGTTTGTGGATGTGGTGAAGCCACAGCTGAAGACCTACTCGGCTCACGAGGACGCTTGTGGGTTCGTCTGCAAATAAAGACACTCAGCCCCATATTTCTTTCGATTTGGCCAACCCTCGAGCCCTCAAACCTGCTAAAAAGTCTGAGCCGGATGTTAGCATCATATCGTGTTTCAAGGGTGAGGCATCACAAATTTGGACGACTTTCTGACACCGTTCCATGATTGGTTTGTAGGGCGCTGTCCGATGTTGGTTGGATGACCAACCCTCTAGAAAAAACGGGGACCTTCAAGTCATGAGAAAAAAGGGCTGGATCTTTCAGGACTACTTCTGGCAGTACGCCTCTGAACAACATCTCAAGGGAAAGGACATCACCAGAGAATCCTTGCCCCAGATTGCCCATACTGCGGCCACCGAGTACCTGGCGGTTGTCCAGAAGATAGCCGCACGATGAGGTGAAGTTCCTCGCACGAGCCGGCCAATGAGTTGGCGGGCGTGACATCTTTATTTTTGAGCTTGCCCAGACTGATCTGATCTAGACCTGCCCCCCAATTTCAATGCAAAGTCGTTCTTGAAAAACCAAACAAACACTCGCAATTGCGGCAAATAATGTTTTCCCTATCGATACTTGTAGGGCTCAAGCGGCCTGGGGGGCCGAGAAGATCGATGTTCTGGTTAGGCCTTAGTCCCATTTCGAAGGAAATTCGGGGTTATGGAACCCTCATTCTCACACTCGCTGCGCTAGTTTTGCTGTTACACCATGTGATTCGAGTAGCCGACTGTGTGATTAATCTGGGGTTCGCATTCCGAAGGCTTGATAGAAGGTCCAACACTGTCAGACATCTTCCTGCTGAGATGCACACAGCTTGTGACTCACACATGATTGTTTCTATAGAAACCGACAAGCCTGCGTGGAATGCTTTCCACAGTCCCTCGATAGTTGCACTGGTCCTGCAGCAATGCGCGCTTAGGCGTCGGGGTACGGATTTGGGTTGGAGAAAAAGTCCCCTTGCCTGCCTGGAATAATTTATTCAGCCTTCTGAAGGCTACGTTTGTTCCGCTCACTGCTGCCCAGGTCAGTGTGGCATGGTGCATGGT